AATTTTTCCAATCCTCAATGACACACCAAAGTATGATACCGGCAGTAAGAACTTCGAACCCCCCCCCTATTCAATTATGTCGGCCTATCAACGGATAAATCTTGTAGAGGAGGGGGGGGACAGCAGCAAACAGGCACGCTGCCTCCACTGCCACAAATTTTTCAGCAACACACGATGTAATACTGATACCATACCAGAAATAGTGCTGTACGTATCTTGTAGGAGTTTCCAACACTCCAAACCGTCCAAAGACGACGTTAGAAGACACCCATTTACAAGCTCTCCGTCAATCAGTCAACTCAATCTCACCCCATGACCACTTGTGAAAGTAACGTTAAAAGCATGATATATTCAAAGGCATCCATACACACCGATACTGATATCCATAAGCCCCAACACAGTGAATAATCTGCCATATCGCCTACGCTACCACCAGTCATCCCCATGAGTTTCCCCGATGCAGTCACCCATACGCGATCCATGTTCTGATAAATGAATTTTATTGAGACGAAACTATACGTCTATCCCCGAGAAAGACACCTCTATGCATTAACAATATATGGACTTTTCAAGCCACAGAAAAAAAAATCCTCAGCAAACACTTTGCATAGAGAAAGTGGAAAAGAAGGATAAAGACAGAACTAATAAACGGTGCTAAGACGGGAAAGTGATCGAAAACAAAAGAGAAATATCTAAAGAGACATTCATTCAGTTTCCAGCCCCCCAATTCAGCCCGAAAACTCCACAAATTTAGTTTTCGCCTTTAACATCAATTCCCCCGCGCGGGAGTATCGGTTCACCAGGTTCATGACGCTGTCCGGCTTCTTCCCTCGCCATATCGGTGATCCATCTCGCATTAGGTTTGAGAACTTGACCTCTCGCAAGCTTAGCAGCAAGGTAAAGCCAACAGGCAGCATTACCAACGGTTCCAACTTCATCGCTCACACTGGACTTCGCATACTCGCTCATCCTGGTATAAAGGTCATTGTTGGTGTACAAATCGAAAAGATGATTTGCGACAGTGTCAGTATCTCCAACTTCCACGAGAAATCCTGATTTGCCATGTTGAATCTGCAAAGGAATGCCACCAGCTCTCGTGGCAATGACAGGCTTTCCATGATGCAGTGCCTCAGACACCTTGACCTCAAATCCCTCACGTAAGGATAGTTGCACCACCAGCTTGGCAGAAGTCATCAATGCATTCAGCACTAGAATAAATGTCAGATCCACACTCACAAATTATCAACTTAGGGAAGAGACTTACTTTGATCGCTTGGACCAATTCTCATAACCACCACATCTTTTGCAATCGCGGCATATCTCGGCTGCGCAAGCAATTCCATTGTTTCGGCAAAAACTATCGACGCATCTGGATCATCAATAGCCCCATGTCCACAACTAAAATCCGTTAGTACGAAATTATATTCAAAGAGCGACAGCTTCAAAATAAAATAGAGTTCAACGTACAGCAACAACTGCGGAGGAGGCTTTTCAGGGGAATCTCTGATTATACGAGCGCACAATTTGCGGTAAGATTCAATGACATCCGGAATGCCTTTGCTAGGGTCGAATCTCGCGATTTGAGTGATATACTCTCTTGCGGGATAAAGAAGCTGGTTCCTAGAAGGCACCAACAGAATTAGCAATTTCATCACGAAGAAGCAGAATTTGTATGTAATCTTAGCCTACATTCCCAGCTCATTGCATGAATTCCGTAGATCATGATGATAAAACCTCAAATCCCATTCGCGTAAAGGTTTATTAAGTCCATCAAGCCTATAATTATTAGCGCCGGAAAATAACTCAGTGGCGGAGAAAACACACCAATCAGTACAAGCAGGCATCAGCCCAACCATTGCCAACGGAACATCGTGCGGAACAAACTTGTCCACCGGATGACTAATAAAGACATCCGCTTGCTTTATGCAACCCCACATCCACTGCCATACCTGTTCTTGAGGGCTCTCAGGCCTTTCCACAAGGTCACTACGGACCTCGATGTGAGAACGGTAAATAATTTTGACCTCCGGTCGAACCTTTTTGATCAACGGAATCAGTGCAGGCATTTGGGGGTCATCTATGATAACGACGTCTGCCCCGCCAGGAGCAAGCGGGCCGCCGGGTGAGAGCCAATAGCGCTTAGCATTTGTTCCAATCCATTCGTTAAGCAAAGCCTGCTTCTCCTTGTCAAATCTTGCTTCAGGATCCGCCACTCCTTGCAGGATGTTGTGGTTTGTCTTTGTGATTCTGAAAGCTTTCGGATTGGGCTTGGGAATGTACCTGTCACACATATCAGTAAATAAATACTACGCACTCTAGATGAGATGAAAACAAACCAATCCAACATAACACCCAATTGAGAGCAAAACCTAACCAAAGCATGCCTCATCAAGGCCACACCTCCACCCTGGGGGGTTGCCGAGAAAAAGGCTATCTTAGTCGGTGGACGCTGAGGGTCCCCTTCGGTCTGGCAATCTTTATATCCCCTCAACTCACAAGCATACTTAAGAACAGTATTCCAAGTACCCTTGTGTACGGTATTCTCGTACTCTCCCAAGCCCTCAACCAACTTGATAGCCCCCTGTGCGTCCGGCATCACCTGGTTTCTGAAAGCAATGGTGAGAGCTGGGTTATGGTTAGGACCAAAGTACATAACACACTTTCGCGCCGCAGAGTCTGCCTGCTCATCGACATCGATAGGAATCGACCCAGTATTTTCGAAGGCACCGAAGGCTGTTGTCTGCACCTTCAACGTCATGCAGACAATGTCCAACTTTCGCCAGAGATACGCGCAAATTCCTGGGCAAATTTCCTCGAGACCAAGTGTAACCCCAGCACCTACAAATTTAGCTTGGTGTTCGACTGAGTACCCGCCAATCGTCCTGATGGCATCTGCCCTAATGAGATCACGCATATCCTCGCCATCTCTGATGGTGAGTTGGTTAATGCAGTAATCAATCGAGTACACTCCGTCGTGAATTGAGATGCCAATCCTGACGGTGCCATCATCAACCCTAGTGGCGGCCGCACCAATATAGAGCGGCTACATTGCCAAGTTAGCAAACAATTTAGAAGGTATGATAACGGCAGATAAAATAGAGTAAGAAAGAAAAAAGAAAAAGAAAAAGCCAGAAACCTTAAGAAAAAAATAATCATGACAAAAGAAATTTAAGGAGAAAAAAAAGGAAGGGAACAAAAGGAAGAAAACTTACAACAAGGGGTATTCCAGCCCAGCCGGTCTCCTTAGTCGACAAACTAATAGACCTCCTTCTCTCCTGAGAAGGAACGGTATCGAAGGGGTGTGCCTGAGCACTGGTAGCCTCGGAATGAAGCATGCTCGATAAATCTGATGAGAAAAGACAGATGTTTGATGAAAAGGCAGACGAGTTAAAGTAAATTCAACCCAAGGGAAAAAGGGGGAGAAATGATTGTCAAGAATGGATAGCCTCGTTACCGGTGGCGAAAGTATTTTTAGGATGAAGGGTGTGTGTTCGGTGAGGAAGGAAAGGAGAGGAGGAAAGAGGGAAGAAAGGGTCCCTTTTATATCCTTTGGAGGGGGGGGCCGACGAAGCGGAGTCACGAAGGTAGGTATAAGAGTACGTGTGCAAGCCGACGCAGAAAGCCACGATCCGTACACACGCACGCCAGAGTCTAGGTACTCGTACGAGTAAGAGTGATCCCCCCGTATGTAGGTGAAAACTCAATGGTACCACGCAAGCTCAGGGGGGTCGAGTTTAAGCTAAAGGAGCCAAGTGTTAAACCCCATAGAAAAGCTGTTTTCGACCCCCTGAGTCCGCAATTGTTCACCGAGTGTAAGCAACGTCTCCCGATATCCACTCAAGTTCACGATGGTATGCAGTGGGATCGTAGAGGATATCTGGCCAGTCAGTTGTCGGTAGGGTGCAGAAATTTTTTGTTGCAACCAAAGTGGGCCGGGTTAACCTTAAGTCCATAACTAAGAATGTATGGAAGCAATAGGAAGTGGAAAATAAAGGGAAAGAAAGGAAAAAACCAAGAAACAATTTTACCTTTGTTGTGGAGTTTTGATAAAGTTAGTCTACCAGTTCTGTGCTCGAGTACGAGTACTTGTAACTGTCGACCCTGTCCATGCTACCCGTAGCAGGCAAGAAGCCCGATAACAGGGATTGCAAATGGTAGATTACTGCCTATCTACTCGAGTAAGCGCTCATACAAACTCGCCACCCTTATTGTGGGGTACCGCAAAAATTCTTGGGATCCACCATCTCCATCAGCCCGTCATCCCATGATAGGTTTAGTTTGAGAGGTTAACAGAACTAGGAATACAAGTACAGTACGAGTACCAGCTAATGTGAGCGCCGCCAACATATCCAGTGGGTTGATCCCTTACTATATCAGGGAAAGGCTAACCCTTCTCTGGGAGTTTCATCTCTAAACAGTAAGATTACAGGGCTGTGACGGAGATAGTGAATTCCAAGAGTTTCTACGAGTACAAGTACAGTACGGTACCGTACAGCACCGGTTACCGGTTGTAGAAACCTGATGTTCCAATGTCGTCACTGGATCTACAAAAGCGGCTATCCTAACTCTATTGGGCTAGATCAGACCCTTATCACGATATCTCACTCGAACAATGGCAATCACATCCTTACTCGTAGATTGGCGGTTCCTCGTTAAACATGCCTTACCGGTATCCCCACACGGGCATGGCGTGGGATTCCGAATCACCCCGGCGGACAACAGCACGACTATTTGCAAGAGTACGAGTACTCGAGTACTCGCACACGCTCATATCATATCACACCCTCTCTTTCAAGTACCATTTTATGCTTCGATATCGTCGAGGAGCCTCCCCTTCATATACTCGGGTATGGGGGTTAGTGATGAGACTGACAGGGACGCGGGTGGCCGAAGACATACCGTATGTGCACGGCGCAGGAATCTATCGATATGCGCTCGGCCACCCGTACAGTACCCCTATCCGTCTCATCACCAACCTCCATACCCAGTACTATGAGATTAGGGGGGAAAAAACTCCAAATTTCCATTTTCCCCGTTTAAAGGTACAAAAGCACCATCATAACGTACTAAGAGCTAAGCTGGCACAAGAGAGCCTGTGCCAGGGTATTGTATTGTAATAATAAGAAAACGAAGCGTCATAAGAGAAGCAATAGGGAAAAGCTGAAGCACCAGGCAAAAAAGAAAGAAAGGAAGGAGAGAAACCCCGGAGCCCATCCGCTAAGGGTTAACTAAAGGCTAGAACCCTCGATAGAAAAGAATGGAGAGGAACCCCAAATTAAAAACGTGATGTTAAGCAAGCCACACATCCCACGAGAGAAATTCAATTATAAAATTTGTGGGATCGGATAAGGGAGATCGAAAAAATTCGGGAATCGGATGGAAAGCCGTACACTTGAAAGATTCTACCCTTTACTGCTTACCCTCCTTGATTCCTTTATCTCCTTCGTTTCCAACGCCATTCTCGCCTCTGCCCTCAACTCTCCCAAACACACCATGCCAGACGCCTACGTTGCTGCTCCCGTCCTTCATACTGATGGCGTCGAAGGTCTCGCCATCAACCCTTAAGCTCGCACTCCGGGCACTTAGACTTCTTCCATCATCGTCGTCACAATCATCACCGGGGTTGATAGTTTCAGCGCCCCATCCACTGCTTCGTCTGCTAGTACGACCCAGCTGTAGACTCTCTCTGTTTCCCAAAGGGCTTCCCGTAGCAGCTGCGGTGGTACCGTTATTACCAGGGGTTCCAGAAATCTCGCCCATAATACTACCAGAACCGTAATCTCGCATACTGCCCGCATCGCCTCCCCTTGATGCAAATGAAGTGCCCCCATACAAACTACCGCGTTCGCCCGCAACCGACCGGCCGACATCAAGGTTACCGCTCAGAACAGAAAGCGGAAGCGATTCTCTTGAACCGCCCCACAGCGAAGATGGAGCAAGAGCACGGACAGATGCATCAGTATCCAACGAATGACGACGTCGCCGCTTAGATGAAGATGCAAGGGTAATGATAGAAGCATTATCGGTCAAGAGATTATTCGCCGTAGCTGTGTTGTAATTCAGGGGGTGCAGCGAGCTACCGTTCAGGTGAGCGATTGGACTAGGACTCGTCGGTGGCCCATTGGCACTCGGGGTAGACGGAAATTGGTGTTGAAAAAGCACAGGAGGGCCATGGGGGTTATGGTGGTGATGTGGATGGGGATTGTAGTTTGTGTGCAAAAGGGAACCTGGCGCGGTGGATTGTATAGTTGTTAACGTAGTGGTCAGCGAGCGCACAGAAGGAGTCGGGGAAGAAAAGGCCGATGTCGTTGCTGTAGTGTTTGACGGAGCAGGATGGGACTTATCCGATGGGGGATGGGTAGGTGAATGATGAGGAGATGAATGATTGGAATTTGTACTTGAAAGAGAGTGACTAGGCTCCTGGAACCCTTGAGCTACAGCGAATGACAGATGCGATGATTCAACGGCCGACGAGGAACTAGAGGGCGGCGGGAGGGTATCCTTAGGTGGTTTTGACGAATAAGGGTAATTTGGAGGAGCCGAAGGACAAGAAGCCGAGCGCTGGCCGCTACCGATCCGGATAGTGGGGGAAGGATTGCTATTTGCATTATGGTTCGAATTAGAACCTTTGAGGTTTGCAAGCCGCTTCATCAACGCGCTGAAAGGCTTCCGGCCTTTGTGCTGGTGGTGCTCCTTGGAGTTTCCAGAGGCTGTACAGGGCAAGTAGGGATTAGCTTCAAGAAACAACTTCCAAAAAGCGATGGAAGCAGAGATGAAAGTAGGCACTCACATGCATTAGATCCAGTGGCAGGATGACGGGACACGTCAGTGGCCATAATCGCAATTCCCCGCGGTGGCTATCAAAGGATCGAAAAGATAGCAACGCGGACGGTACGGGGTATGACCAGACAATCCAAGTTGGGGAAGAAGCTCAGTAATGGGTGTTGTCGGAGGGAGGTAGAGAGGGAGGTGAGGAGTGGATGGTTGTTGTTGAGAGGGAGATGTTGGTTGAGATGGAGGAAAGATGATTGCTTGGATGTGTGCGCGGAGGGGGATAATTATCGGTTGGCTTCTCTTGCTTCATCCCGTCAGGGCGGCAGTGCCTGATGGCGGGGGGTGCAGAGGAGTGGCACAAACACGACTTTTTTTTAGACTCTTTAGGGTTATGTCTTGCAGAAAAGGACATCTTGGCTCTTATCTGCTCATCACCAGTATGCAAACCTTCATCAAATTCTCTGTAAAGTACAGTTGCCGTTCATTGAAGGGTATACAGGTTACCCCATCTTATCATACAACTTTCCTCACCGCAGCACTTATCGTTTTCCGCGCACCACAAGTCTATGGGTCCGGGATATTCCTGCATGTCGGAATATAAATTCTCTCTTCGCCCTCTTCACCCGTAAACAAATCGACGGCCCAGCCCTCCTATCACACTTTCTGCATACCGGTAACCCATCTCTCCGGATTTCTCTATTCCCCATTCTCCCCTCGATCCACTTCCCCCGGCTGACAGATCCAAGCACAGCGGTATTAAGATGCGATAAAGCGTCAACAAACAGACACGAAACTATCATATCATGAGCATCGAACAGGCACTGGCATTATATTAAACAACCTTTTTTTCCCCACAACCATGTTATCCATGCTCCCCGGTTCTGAAATCACGCCCAAGGTCGAGTCATAACCTACCCACTACTTCTCACACGGCACCTGTTTCGCATGAGCTATCATTTCCATGTGCTCGACCGTTGAAGAGTGGTGAACCTATAGCCCGGTTCCCTATCACCCCCGGTTTATTTCACCCCCAAATTCTTGGGCCGATCGAACTGTTTCCGCAATCATGACTCTTTACTGGCTTCTAAACTCTGGGTAAAATAAAAAATAATAAAAACCAGGCATCGTCCCACTCCGATAATATTCGATACCGGGTTCAAAATTGACCAAAGCCGCACAAATCTAGCACAAGTATTCTTTCGGAAGAGAAAAGGGGGGGGGAACATTGGGTATCCACAAGATACCGGTAGATTAAACTGTGCACAACGGCCTCTTATCTGTCCTATGCATGTTTGGATGGTGGGGTGGCATCGGGCAATGGTATGGTGGATGGGAAAAACCGGGATATTATTGGTTCTAACATAACCTACATACTCTCTGCGCCCTTGTCCGCAAAGCAAGAGGAGAACCCAATTCTCCCTTACACCCCAAACTCCGAGTCACAAATTTATCTATGGAGGGAAGGGAATTCCATACCCGCCCCCATCAACCGGAATATACCGGTACATACTCGAGCACCGGTACCTACTACTGAGTACAAGTATACCGTATCCCGCTATTCCTTACCAGAGATGACTCCCCGACAATTTTGTGCCGACAAAACGCGGTTGGTTCCAGTCACAGAGAAGATGACTTACGGTACTGGTATTTCCTAATCCTGGCTTGGGTTCATGGGCATCACTCCCTGAGACTATGATACCTGCGCCTGTATCCCACCAAACCCCAGCGACTCCTCCATGGTACGGTAAGACAATCCCTCTACCAGCACGGTAATCAACCTGGGTCGCTACCGCCAGCAACCTACACTATCATTCAACAGATGTGAAGATACTATTCTAGAATTTCTTACCTGTAATAGGGCACCTACATTCCCACGTCAAAACTTTTCGGCCAGCCGCCAGCATACCGGTGCCAGTATCATCCCCAACGAACAGATCGCTTCGTAGTATCATAGTCTACTCGAGCACAGTTACTCGTACCCATTCACTCGCATAATCCACTGTGGAATCAGCAAGGGGCTTCGTTGAGCAAGTTAACGAAACAACGCACACCAGTTAACGAGATCCAACGAGTGAAGCATGTCCAAACCATACCACGTCAGGTAATCACTATTCTCGAGGTGTTTTGACCGACCCCGAATGCGGGGTTTCCAGGCCTGGCGGGGATGGCGGTTTGTACGAGTTTATACGGCATGATACCGTACCTGTATCAACTCGTCAAATCGAGTATCGCCGAGCAGGGGTGCTAATCCCTATTTTGAGACGAAAGCCCTACCAGTAGCACAGTATCGGTACAGTACTAACAGAAAAGAAATGGGAGGATCGCTTTAACGCTCTCCGAGAAGTTTCAAGCAGCTCGAGCACCGGCAACCTACGATCAAGCCCAGATCCACTCGCCGGGAGAGACCGAACCTAAGGCGCTACCCAACCCGACGGGTTAATACTCGTACGGTACGGAGAAAAGGTTTAGGATATCATCGATTGCGGGGGTATGCATTTAATATATAAATGCAGTATGATACCATCGATCGCAATCTTTGACCTCACTCACACCAAGATACCGGTATATAATCACCATGGAAGAATCGGGCTTTCAATACTCGATCATGCTCCACAGTCACAATTCGCTTGAGAAGAATCGCAAAAGTTGCAGAAAGCTTTCAGAAGACAAGTATACGAGTACCGGCAAGTGGGGCATACCTCCTTCGCTTTTTTTTCCCGCAGTTTCAAACTCGCCAGGCATACCGGTACTTGAGTAATGAACCCGGACACAAGGGGTAAAAAATTGTGTGGCAGATTGTCTGTGCACACCTGAGCGCCCCCATAACTACCGCACTACGGTACAACTAAATTCCGACTGAAATACCCTGGTTCATTATGCCTGGTACGCCTAAGCACCTTTTTTTCTGGTAGAGCCTGCTCACTTAGAAAGGCTGTGTACCGTACTCTTTTCTCTTAACTCCTATGTATGATACTGTATAATACCAAGAGCGAAAAATATTAGTGGCTTGAGACGTTCAAATACCGGTACTCGAGTACTCCTAACCAGACACAATATCACTCCGAAAAGAATCCACAATGTCTGCCCCAATAGTGGAGGTAAAAAAAATAAGAAAAATAAAATAAAAAAATAAGACACTAAAGACTCTCGAAATATTTAATTGTATTTTTAATCTATTTTTTTGTTGCTATCGTATTGTCATTCACTTGCTCTGGGGGCGCAAAGTTAATGCCTTGGTCTGGTTGTAATCGATGGTACAGTACTTGTACGAGTAGTACTGTGGGGGGCTTGTCGTGGGACAGATGGTGACTTATCCGTACGACGAAGTTCGCAACCATGACGTGTTGTTACCTTTGTCAGCAGTTTGTTCGTATTATTGTGGATACATGGTAAATTTATCGACGAAGGGGGCAGAGAAAGACAAGGAATTCATCAGGCCTTAGCTAGCATGAGACTTCAGCAGGAGCACAGAGAAGCATATTGACAACTGCAGAGTCTTTCTTTCTCTCTGTGACTTTCACTTTTATTTCCTTCTCAACCTCTTTTATTTCTTTACCCATCGACGCTGTCCTCTTCTCGAGGAGTTGATACAGAGTTAGAGGAATAAGTTACTAGCACCCCTTTTTCCGGTAATTCTCATCTCATCCTGACCCAGCCTTCCGTAACAGTACCGGCTGCCGGTATCTATCTTTTCTCATTAATAGGGAGGCTCTGTTGTGTGCGTGAGCTTGAATATGAACGCTGCCTTGTGTCACTAATGGACTAGCCTGCTCATCAAGTTCTGGGGGGTATCTTAATATTCCAGCACCTGAACTCGGACAGACATGATAAATTTATCCCTATCCAGAAATAGACACATGCTACCAGCTTGCATAAAATAATTCTCAGCTACTTTGTTTACCGGTATCATAGAGTATCGTACCGTACTTCGTAAATTTACATTGTCTTACATGCTCAAGTTCAACGCTTAGCCCGGTTTCTGGTCTGCACGAGAATTCGCTTGCCTTCCCAACCGTATTCGGGTAGTGGGTGACTGTTGCCGTGGCAACAAGAGCAAGTTCACGTTCACGACTGCTCACTTAACCTCCCTAATATGATACGGCACTTGTGAGTCACGGGCAAAATTGGTCAACCAATTTATGCGGTAGTTACCCTCTCTACTGTACTGTACAGTACAGGTACCCCCAAGTCCCCCCACCAAAACCGTGTTCACCCCGCAACAGCGTCACCATCTTCAAAAATACGCTCCCCATCAACACGCAATGTCCGCCCGCGCACGCAGAGCCCTCCGCGATCAAGAGCTTACTTCGCAATCACAAACCCCTAATGACTCTACTTCGGAAGACGAGACTCTGGCGCCAAACAAAGCGAGCTTGTTTGCTCTGCTGGGAGAAGTTGAGGACGAAGACGGCCAGGGAAACGAGGAACCGGAAGATGAAGAACCGGAAAAGGAAGGAGGAAAGCCCGAGCAAAAGCCAGCGAAAAGGAAGAGCAAGAACAAGAAGAAAAAGAAAGGGAAGGCAGCAGAGGTAGTTAAGAACGAGGGGAAACTTCACGATGACGAATTTGGTGAACTTGTAGCTCCGAAACTGGGGAGCTTACAACCCAAACTAATGCCCATCGATTCAGTACTTACGGTTGAGCCAAAGAACTTTGATGCGAATGCTGAGATGAGGATTTTGTTTGGCCGGGCCGCGATGCCCGAACCAGAGGGGGAAATCTTCCCGGGCCGAAGAGGTGGGAGACAAAGAGGCAGTATGAGGGGGCGAGATGGCCGAGTGGTTGGCGGCCGTCGAAATATATTTATTCAACCAAAAGGCACCGCCTGGCCGAATGCTACTAGCGTCGGGTTGGGCATGGATGTCGTTAGTGTTGGCCTGGATGGTGGGCCCACGGAGTTTAGGTTTGTGCATTCGACCGCCTACCAGGATGTGCAAAGGCAGTTCAAGATTTGCGTTGAGTCAATGGGTGAGTTCTTCAGAGCTGCAGGGTGGCCCCTGGCTAATTAAATAGATCCTGATCGCATGATACAGTTACTGCGTCACAACCCATACCACATCGCTTCATTGCTTCAAGTATCTGAGATTTCGTCGCAACAACGAAACCATGAAAGCTCCGGCGATTTCCTTGAGAGAGCGCTTTTCGCCTTTGGTCGTTCGGTGAACTCTACCTTCAGCGCAAGGCTCTCGGAAGGGAAGGCTCGCCTCTCATTCCTTCTCCCAGAGAACCGCGAATTCTGGCTCGCTTGCTGGCGGTACATTTCCAATCTCACCATGCGTGGGACTTGGAGAGCAGCAGAGGAGTTTGGACGGATGTTGCTTGCGCTAGATCCCGAACGGGATCCGTACCAAATTTGTCTAATCATCGATATGCTGGCACTGAACGCTCGGCGACCAGAGAGGTTCTTGACGCTCGTAGAGCATCCAGAATTCGTCAAGCGTCATGCACACCTTCCGAATATTGCATTCTCGACGGCATTGGCGTATCACCAGCTCCACAAAGATGCTCTGGCAAGGGAGTACCTCGCCAAAGCTATCACTCGGTTCCCATGGGTTCTCAAAAGGCTATCTATCGAATTGAGTATTCGACACCAGCCCAACACCCCTCTCGCAGCGGAGATTCTCCCACCAGATGCACTGCACAGCATTTTAGCCGAGCTATTCGTCGAGCGGACAAAAGACCTTTGGAAGGGCGCTGACACGAAACGGTTGCTGGCAGATGTGGCCGGCTCAATATACTCACTCCCCAAAAAGTCATTCCGTGCACCGCCAACGGAACCCTCCAATCTAGTCGAGTTTGACGGTGTTAGCATCGACGTTGCCCGCCACATACTATCAACCGGCAACAGGGGCGTAATACAATACCTTCCCCGAGAATGGATCAGGGTACCCACAATCAGTTACGACCCCCTTCCTCCAGTGGATAGTATTGGAACGGCTCCATTGTCTTATTTACAGAATCTTGTCTCCTCCGTGGCTCCTATCTTAGAGCGGGCGCGGGCTGTGGGTGGGGACGGAGGAGACATTGGAGAGGAAGAGTTCCGCCGGTTGATGGAACAGCTAGCTCGGGAGGTTGAAGGCGCTTCTGGTGGAAACACCGCAGACGAGAACACGGTGGATGGGGATGCTGCGATTAGAGATAGCAATGATGAGAATGCCGGAGAGGAGGGTGGGACAAGCGGCATAATACAGAGTCTATTGGGACTTGTCAGAGGTAGGGGAGGAACCCGCCCCGAAGGTGGTGGTGATAGTGGTGGTACAGGGGAAATTTGAGTTTTGAGCTATTATTTTGTACGAAAACGCCGATGCGCGACCATACAAAGCTGTTAATCCAACCCATTCTTTTCCGGACCCGAGACTCCTGAAAGCGGGACATTTCATGTTTAATCTCCTGATTTGACGAGTGAGAAATAGTGATCAGGGTTAGGTATTCTCAAGGACCTCGTGTTTCAGACTCGAGATAAGACTATCAATATTATCATAAATAAAATCGAATGCTGGTAGGGGAACCATAGAACCCCTATTATAGCTTCATGTAAACTATTGCTTATAATAAATGCCCATATGGTTAATTAATTGCTCTCCAACCAACCACTCAAACTATTTTTCAAGTCCCAACTCATAAGGTGGCCGAATAGCTCATGACATCAGGTCCAACATGTGTGGACCCTAACTGAAACCTAGGCTCCTCATCACAACCAGCTTACAACAAAAATCACCATCAACAAACCACGATGCTCTCACATCTAGTGGCAGCTGGAGTGGTTCTCTTAACATCCACTCTACTTTTCTACTTTCTCCTCCTCCGCGCCATCGGCTCCAACCTCCGGCGGCGGAGCGCGGCTAAGAAGGCGACAATCACTAGGAGCGCTTTTGGCGAAAGGAAGGCGACTGTCGTCGGCTTTTTTCATCCCTATTGGTAAGACTATGAAGATGGAGTGTATAGGCGGAAGCTAATGAGGGGGTAGTAATGCTGGAGGCGGTGGGGAGAGGGTGTTATGGGCCGCTATTAGAGCTACACAGGAGAGGTGGGACGACGTGTTGTGTGTGGTGTATACTGGAGATCAAGATGCCGACAAGGAGACGATACTATCCACAGTCAAGGTAGTTTAACTGCACCTTGCACCCCCCCAACCCCGCTTGCTAATAGTGTTATAGTCCAGGTTCGACATTCACCTCGATCACTCACGCGTTGTGTTCCTCTTCTTGTCAACTAGGCACTATGTCTCCGCCACGACCTACCCTCACTTGACACTGCTTGGACAATCCCTCGGTTCTTTGATTCTCGCCTGGGACGCATTCACGTTACTCGTCCCGGACATATTTATCGACACGATGGGCTACGCATTTACTCTTCCCATGGCGAAATTAATGTTTGGGATACCGACGGGCGCATACGTTCACTACCCCACCATATCTACGGACATGTTGTCCAGTATTTCCTCTTCTACCAGCACACGAGTCAGGGTTAAGCTTTTGTACTGGAAACTCTTTGCTATGCTCTACGGTTCCTGCGGAAGGGGTATCGACGTGATCATGTGCAATTCCTCCTGGACAGCGGGACATCTCCGCAGTCTGTGGTCGAACAAAGCATCCACCATCTCCGTCGTCTTTCCCCCTGTAGCAGTGGAGGCTCTCACGGAAGCAATACCACTCGCTAAGGGTGTGATGGGGATGAAGAGGGAGAATATCATCTTGTGCATTGCGCAGTTCCGGCCAGAGAAGAAGCACGATCTGATAATTGATTCGTTTGCTCACTTCTTGCGAGAGAATCCTACCCTAAACGACACGAAATTGGTGCTAATTGGAAGTGTGCGTCATTCGGAGGATAGGACTAGGGTTTACGATCTGCGGCTACTTGCACATGAGAAGGGTGTCAAGGATAAGGTTGTGTTTGTTTGTGACGCGAGTTGGGGTGATATATTACAATGGTTGGAAAGGAGTTGGATCGGTGTAAATGCCATGTGGAACGAGCACTTTGGTATCGGGGTGGTAGAGTACCAAGCTGCTGGTCTTATCAGCGTTGTGCACAACAGTGGGGGGCCAAAGATGGATATCGTCATTCCAGGCACAGGATTTCATGCGACGACGAAGGAGGAGTTTGCAGATGGATACAGGAAAGCCCTCGAACTGGAGGGTCAGGTGGTGGCCAATGTTCGACAGGCAGCTCGTAGGAGTGCAGAAAGGTTCACAGAGAAGGTTTTTGCGGAGAAGTGGCTTGAAGCAATGGCCAAGTTGCTCCAATTGGAGCGGACTAGCTGATGCTGGTCTACCTTCTTCTCCTGTCCCCCTCTCCGCCCTACTCACTCTGGTTGGGCGTTCTTTCATTCCTTTTTTTATCTATGCATTCTCGGTTTGGCGGAGTAGGTAGTCTACATAGATACCAGATATAAATTCCAATCCTACCCTCTATTCTCTAACCTTGTCGCCAACGCTGTATGGGTCCTGGAATTTACATGGTTCCAACTCATCCCCTCTCGGCATGACCTTTGCTAGAATGATGTTCTGGACAAGCGAGAACATGGCGGACGTGCTCCAATAGAGGGTCAACGCTGCCGGAGCATTTGCGGTAAGAGGGAAGGCGGCGAGAGACAGTATCCTGAGAACATTTGTAAAAACCCTTTGCTTCCGCGTACTTGGAGGGTGCAGTTTCGATTGTAGCTACACAATTAGCCATCCGCCCATGCACGAGAAAGAGGGGGTTAACAAAGACACCTCAATATTCGCAAACAGCAAGAACGAGAACCCCATTGGCAAGGCCAAGTACGGATCCGCAATCAGCAAATCCCCAAACCACAGTGCGCCCTCCGTCGCCAACGCCTCCTCCACCCACGCTTCCCCACCAATCTCTCCCGATCCCCTCAGCCAGGTTGGCAACCCTTCAATCCCGGTCATCCCCCTCAACGTCATGCTCGCTGCGACCCAAACTGGAATTTGCACGACAGGAGCCAACAGCATCTTCCAAGCCTGACATCCCCACCTCTTCCACAGCTCCCTTCTCTTCTCGCGCATTTCCTTGCGAGTCTTTAATTCCCACGCCTGCGGCGTGGTAGTAGCACTCTTTGCACCCCTGGCGATGGGGTGCTGGTACGCGCTTAGGATCGGTTGGAGACGTTGGGTGCGGAGGGCGCGGCGTCGGGAGTATATCGTTAGCGGGGTTGTTATGGTTAGGCGGAGGAAGATTGCCGAGAGGGGGATCAGGGTGTGGTAGGGAAGGTGCGTGCTCGTGTGGAGGGTTGTTAGGAGGTCGTGGGTTGTGGAGAGGATTGCGGGTATTAGGTGGTTTGGGGTGGTGCTTGAGAATTGGCGGTGGTGAAGGGGTTTTGTGAGGAGGACACGATAAAGGGGTTTAGCGAGGAGGGGGTAGAGGTGCAGCATTATGGTGGTGGTGGTGCGGGAGCGATGCTGGGCTGCTCATCCCGTTCACTTTGCGCTTGTGAAGTTTACATCTCGGAACAACGGCAGTGCACCCGAGTATCTCCTTGCACTAATACTGATATACGAGTAGTACAAGTACTAGTACCGTACTGTACATAGTCCAAGCTACAAGTAACTCACAGTGGCCGCAGCAACACTCTCCCTCAATACAACATCAAACCACTCCTCCGATCACCGCAACCAAGCGCACTCCCGCGACCATCAATTCCCCCCCCCCAAACTACTCTCAGCACGTTCCCCTTGCCGTAGTTAACCTTAGCATTACAATTAGTTTTCCAATTTAGCTGTAGCCGAAACCCCCCTTGTTAACCTCTCATAGATACAATTCCCCGTTCACATGTGCTCAGATGCCTTGTCTTCTCTTAGGATACCAGTATACTCACAGATCTCCCCGCTTCCCCGAACTGACTGTCTCGAAGAGGTACCAGTACAGTACGAGTACTCGAGTGCACTTAGGGTAGGAGTACGGTACCGGTAGGAGAGAAAGAAGTACTTCAAGAGTGCCGGTACACCATCGTGCTCATGTCGTATGAGGTATAGGACAATTTCAGTTTCTCCCATTGAGGCTGGTAAACCGGAGTTGTCCGTCTTGGAGGGGATGTGAAAGGGTTTAGGACATCATAGACACGCAGTGCATGAAACATACTATGCTACAGTATTGCTCCCGGCTGGGTTGTGGGTGTGGAGAATAGGAAAAGGAGGGAAGAAGGGTGTAGTACGGCGAAGAAGGCTACTTCTTCTCCCTTTCCTCCTCTTCCCCCCTTTCCCCTTTCACTTTGCATACTTCTTCTATGATACCTTTTACGATAAACTTGTGCTGTACGGCCCCCTTTCTTTACCCTTTGCCACGGTACTGTGCGATCTAGCTGCAAGTCCACTATGGAGGCCCAATCACCGCAGAAGAAACGAGTGATAGTCATCGGCTCTGGTCTAGCAGGGCTAACAGTTGCATACCTCCTTCACAACGACCCAAAATGCGAATATGATGTTGAAATCTTTGAATCCGTACTTCACCTTCCCACCCCCCCCCCTCCTCCCATCCTGCCTCCCCACTAACGAGTGAACGGATATACTGGTAGGGCTCCCACCCGTCAATAGACGCAACAACCCTCCCCACAAACCTCGAAATCGACATTCCTATGCGGACATTTTCAAAAAACTACTACAGGACACTACACACCTTGTACAAGCACTTGAACCTCCCAATCCACTTGCAAAAGTTCACTTTCATCTTCGCCACCCTCTCCTCCGGTCAATCCCGACCCAAAATCTACTACACGCACCCTAGCAACTTCCACGCCTTTCCTGCGCCCACACCCGGGGTCAACCCGCTTTCCCACATCATGACACTAGTGGTATTATACCTAGCATACATTTACTTCACCCTTTGCATCTTCCTTCTCCACCCGAGCGAGGACGAAACGGTATCATCTTGGCTACGCCGAAGCCGCTTACCGGAATGGGTGGTAAAGGATTACTTCCTGCCAATGTTTGGCATCGTTGGAACCTGTAGTTCCGCAGAAGTACTCTCATCCCCAGTCCATGACGTAATAGCCTATCGTCGTGGGATGCTCTTCCGCAGACACTACGTCGTGGGCGGCGGCGTGGGTGTAATCCGGCAACGACTTCTTCACGGTATCCCCATCCAGCTAAACCGCCGCGTTCGCAGGGTCTGCAAAACCCCCCGCGGCCTCAGCATAAACTGGCATGGAGGCGATGGGGAAGAGGTAGCAGACGCGGTAGTCTTCGCCGTACCCCCTGACGTCCTCGCGGGCATATACGCCCCGTTAGCACCATCACTATCGCAGTTACCAACAACCAAAGTCAAGGTCTACGCGCACACCGATTGCACGGTACTAGCACCCTCCTACTCCCTCCTCTCCCGGTCTTTCTCCCCGGCCAAAGACCACGTTGCGGTACAACTCACGACGTCAAACAAACGCACCAGCGCGACGGAGGTACACGCTGGAGTTATGGTCAGCACGACGCCGCAATTGGTGCCGGAGAAGGATAAAGTAGTTGTAGAGGTGGAGTATACGAGGGTGCTGAGGACGCCGGAGAGTAGGAGGATTGTTAATGCGCTCCTGGATGGCGATGGTGGGGAGGGGGAAGGGTGGAGGAATGGGGATGGTGGGGTTTGGGTTGTAGGTGGGTGGTGTTGGGATGGGATGGTTTTACTTGAAGGTTGTGTTAAGAGTGCGGTCAGGGTTTGGGAAGGGGGGTTTGGTGGCAGGATTGAGGATTTGGGGAGGGTTGGGAGTGGTCTGTCGTGATGGGAGTATCATACTCGTAGACGAAGGGTAGAAGCGGGGGGTTTCCAGTATGATGTACGAAAGTTTTTTTTTCCCTTCGAGGTTGGGTAACTGGTCTTTTAGTATAGAAACAACCATAATCTAGTTTGGAAACATCCAATAGCGTTATCCAATTACCCACAGGGATATGCAGCTAGCACCATACATTCCCTCTACCCACTCCTAATCCCGTAACACATACTAACCACCTCGCCCTCACACCAGATCACTCGCACTACATCCATAAATTACCAGCCGAGCAACCAATCATCCACCACTGCACTTGATTACTATTCAAGAACACAACCAAGGGTCAGGTAGTAAAGGTGGTACGGTGCATTCCAAGAGACATGCTCCTGGAAGGATCTCTGTTTCCCTTCGCCTCAGTCGGCCGCTAGGGGATATGGTTGGTGGGTGAGATAAAAAAAAATTACGATTCAATCTATCAGGAGAACACTATACAGTCCCACCAATTTCGACAAAAATCGACATCAACACCTCCGCTCCATGGAATGCTTTTACTTCCTGACCCTTGTATCATACTCAAGCATCCAGTCACTGTCAAGTAAGTAGGGGGAATGTCAACTCAATTCTAATAATACATCAGTTCAAACATCGCCAACAAACCCTTCTTTAGAATATGCTCTAGTGTGTTCCCCTCGACCAGGATCCCTGTGCCAACATTCTGTATAAATGAATGCCCACTCCGACCAGGCAAATCATCAACTACCATCACATCTTCAGATACATAATACCTCCAAGAAATAATAATAACAATTGTGATAACAATGGAAGACTCAAATATAAATAAATAAATAAAGTTTCCCCAATCCTCACGGCCGGGCAGGAAGAACGATCCTCATTCATATTTCTTGGGGCTTGTGGGAATGGGGGTTGGGGGTGGACGGGTACTACTGACTGCATATCAGGCAGGGGATATGCGGACAGCTCTGCGTTAGACATCATATCTGGGAGAGCACTTTTGCCAGCCATACTGGGGTGTTTTGGGGGTGTTTTTTTTTTAATTTTAATTTTAATTTTATATGTTCGGGTGCGTGTTGTATTTGCGAAGGCAAGATGAAGATTTGGTAGCTTTGTTGTTCCCGAAGGGCAGGCGCTCCCGTACTCTCTTGGGAAACGAGAAGAGGCGAGGAGGAAGAAGTGGTGATGGAGTATCTCCTACCTCCACCTTCTCTGTCTCGTCCGTGTTCGCTTCCTCGATGATTTCTCTCCAAGTCTTAAATTGATACCTAGGCTTTCTACCAACCAGAATTGTTAGCTTCTTCTACAATTTCCTGCTTCTCTCTCTTCTCTTCCAATCAGGGTATTCTTTCCCACTACTCTATATGAGTAATCTAGTAGGAATTTATTGTATTTTATATATCCGAATGTAATGTTTGTTTTGTTGGGTTCACTATCCCAAACTAGTAGTAAACTAAGTATGTCCCTCAATGTGCTAGGGAGAGAAAGAGAAGGGGCAAGGAAAAGAAGGATCAATGAAGTAACTCCTTCCTTCCCCACTATCTCCGTCTCTTCCTTCCCCAAAGCACAGTTTCTATCTGGGACACACTCCACATATGTGAAAGTAGGCCACACTACCACTAACTTTGTATGAAACGGGTTTTGTATACACCCAAGCAAACCAGGAACTTGCTAGAAGAGTAGTAATAGAGTAACATACTAGTCCAAGTTAATGTCTGCTGAAAACTAATAAGGTAGAAGATATGTTAACTAGTGGATACTAAACTTTGATATAGATTAAGTGTAATCATTAAGGCTCAAGACCTACATGGATCATGCGAAATGATTACTAGTATATGGTGGTAATCTGGGAATGTATGGAGTGAGAATATTGGAGAAATTCTCATAACATACAGTTTCTCAATCAGAGGGCATGGGAGTGTCACTTTAGAAAGATATAATAGAGTAAAAAAAAAAAAGCCAAATTGAAGGAAGGAGAAGGCGGGTTACCTGTATGTGTCACTAATTTGGTAGAGAAGAGGGAAAATGAGATGTCCTGATGGGAAATGCCCTAGTAGGTGTTTCCAGGAAGGATGTAGAGACAGCGGAGAATGTCGCTACTAGAGCGTAAATGTACTATTAGACGATAGAGGAAAGAAAACAAGGGAAAAAACAATTTTCTTTCTTTCTTGTATCTGTTAGGAATACCAGAACCCGATACCTAGGAACCACCCTGAGTAGGGTAACCCCACTTGGAATCAGAATCTCTGGTCTCCAACACCCCCCTCCGGCTCCCTTACGGGGCCCATACGTCATCATATATATCAATCTCTGCTGCGTCCTGTGACTATATTACCACAGAATTGAAGGTGTTAGAATAACAACATATACGTCGCCGCCGTCCATCTGACCAGAACCTGTTCGCGGGATTTATGTGAGGGGACCTTTGGCTAGGCTTGGGAAGTAGAACGGAGTGATTCCGTTAACTACTCAGAGAGTTACTTGGCTCCAAAGACATGATACCTTTGGCAAGGACCATAGGTAATGGGACGATTTCATACAAAGAGATGGTATCAAATGGTAAAGGATCTCTACTAGAGACCAATACATTTACATCCACCAGAAGAGTCTAGAACTCCAAAAGACACTACTAAAGAAGCCAACGAACTTCACGGAGTGTTGCAACTGGGTTTCAGAACACGTCGTAATCATGGGATGATTCTCAATACTACAATCGTTACTGAAACCTACTACCCAGAAAGCAACCAAGGGATTAATTACCAATCTGGCGGAATAGCTTCCTGCGAGTTAATAGGAAGTCATCCAGAGAAAATCTATCAGTTGGGTATGGAGTTACAAAGGATCGGAGTCAGACGACCTACAATGGTTGTAATGACGGCCACCTTTGCAGATATAGCCGTGGATAAAACTGATCATTTTATCAATGGCGAAGACAATTGGAGCCAACTCAGCTTGACTTAAGAACTAGGCCATAAGTCTAAAGACTCTGCTGATCGGGATATTACTATTGGAGACAGTACATTTCCTAAGAAAAAATATCGTAATTACTGAAGAGGGTGTGATGGTTTTCAGGGTCTACAGGTGTTCGCACCTTGGAAGAAAACTCGACGTTGTGAATTACGATTAAAGAAGTACATAGTTGTATGATAAGTAGATATATTCCGCAAACACTTAGATGCGGAATATAAATATCGAAGTGCCTTCCAAGCTTTAAACATCATCAAGCAATGGAGAAGAGACCTTAACAATATAATATTGTTTTTACGATTCTACCCTACTTTACCTATTTTACTTCGCTCCTAGTAGTCATAAACGAAACGAGCAAAGTCCAAGCCTTCCTAAACAATCTCTGTCTACAGAAACGAATCTCGATTGGCCTAGACAACTTTGAAGTCTATCAAGTTGTCTCTGCCTAACAGTATCATAATATTATGATAGGAGATGGAGGGGTGTTGGAGGGTAGCTTACTCGTAGGGAGCTGGAACTTGAAATTCTGCAGTGTTTACTATATACTGTTGGGCACCCAGTTCGTTGCTAGTGAAGAACAAGGCACAGCTGGTCAAGGGAGCTGACATAAGTTAGGGAGGAAAAATGAAGGAAGCTCCTTGGTCGTTATATTATCTGCAGGAAGACCAAGGTGGGCTGTTCTCAAAAGGAAGCACTGCGGCAGGGATTTACATATTGTACGATCTTGGCATAAAAAGTTATGAGTAGTGCAACAGTATCAGAGGACTTTATGAAGACAACGATCATGACTTCAACTCCACCCTCCCCATGCAATTTGGCATGAATGGGAAACTCCAACCAGAACCAGGATTCTGACCATGCTGGAATGTAGTATTTCACAGAGTGAGACTGGAAGGCATACCGGGGTTGCTTAACAAACCATCAGTCATTGGGTTCGGCAAGAGCCTAAATGTGAGCGCTGACAAAACAAACAAACAGGATGCCCACACAAGCTCAATAAGCACGATCTACGACATTTAATTCATATCCTGTAACGGAATTGTGAGAGGAGGAGGCTATTATGAAGGAAATTAGGGCAGCAGGCAGGATTAAAGGTTACAGCTTAAATGATTCAGAGCACTCTTACTGGAAAGGGTTATACACAATGCCGGGCTTGCAAGAAGCCCTTTATCGATTGCACTGCTCATAAAACAAGACTGGCTTACTCTATTGAGCACTCTAATAAGCTTAAGGAATGGTAGTGTAAGTATATCTTTGCTGATGAAGTTACCTTTAATACCTCACGCCGGAGTTCAGCTTGGATAACACAACTCTCCTCCAAACACTATCATGATAATTGCATCCAACATATCTTTACTAGTAGCAGAGCATTGGTACCAGTATGGGAAGCAATTGGGTATAATTGGAAGTCCAAACTAGTCTTCCTTACCAGCGCAGGACATTGTAATGGCATCACCTCTACCGACTATCTCGAACAGGTTCTGAAGCCAATTGTCAAACCGATATTCAAAAATCAGCTTGGATTTGATTCTACGGAAGGCGAATTTGTGGAGGACTCCGCACCATGGCATGGAACCAAGGTTGCCTTGGTTGAACCCAAAAAACAACTCGGCATCCCAGTTCACCCAAGACCGACCTCCTCACCTGACTTGAATCCGATTGAAAATGTTTGGCGCATTCTCAAACAACAGATTAAAGCATGTGAGCACTTCCCCGGAACCCTGGCAGAGATGTGCAAGGCTGTCTAGGCAGAGTGGGATAGACTACAACCTTCAGATTGGAATGGGTTGGTTGATAGTATGCCAGGTAGACTGAGGGAATGCCATGAGCGAAATGGCTTACAAACTCGTTATTAAGTCTTTCATCCTCATCAGACTGTATTCTATTTTCATCATTATTTTCTGCATTGAAATTGTTGAGAAACCATCTGTTTTATGATCGTTACTTGTATTCTACTCGTAACTTTTTATGCCAAGATCGTACATAATGGAAAGTTACCAAGAAACGGACCAGAAAACTCCACGCAGGATATAGGGTAAATATGGCGGGGAACCACCCACGTGGTAAAGACTTAATAGCAGGATTAGGAGGGATATTGGGAGAGGGTGGATAGGGATAGGTGCTTGAAGGTTGGTATGATAATTATATAATTATGATAACCGGACATCTGCACAATGTTAAATACAAGTCTTTCAACCCCCGATGCCTAAGTGGCAACCCAAAAGCTGTCCAGATGACTCAGAAGCGCAAAGGCGAAGCTCATATTCCATTTCCAATCCCTGGACTAACATCTCCGGAGCCTGGACTAGGTGGAGGCTAAAGGGAGAGAGTGTCTGCCCCAACTCCATTTATACTCAAATATATGTCTCGGACTTGGTAGGCTGAAACAGGAAAAGAGCACCCTGTTAAAATGTACGATCTCCTTATCCTACGGGTCATAGATGTGTGTCGGTCATGGGACATACCCGTATGACCATATTTCATAAGGTGGATTCCAGAAGTTTCTGGGTATTTCTTGGGAATGAGGTAGTGTTCATGTAACAACAGAAAGGTATATAAAGGGGCGAATAGATAGGAGACTTCAACCTCCACCATCCCCTTCCTGATCCACTGAGGTCGCTTTGCTTACATGGCCTCAGCGTCTCGGAGCCTTACTTTGAGCTCGCTTCACGGGCGGGATTTGGCCTAGCAAACACCCCAGGTGTGTACACTAGGTTCCCCTTCTCTGCCGGATCACGCCCCTCGATTCTGGACCCCTCATTTTCAAAGCCTGCCCTAGCGCCATTCGTAGAATCACGGGAGACTATATACTGTTCACTGCGTCTACCAATTCTATCACAGAAAAAGTGACGACCAGCGCATATATTTTCACATATTTTCACACCTAGCCCTTGAGCATCTGGGATTTGATGAGGATCTGGGAGATGAAGTGGGCACTGTTCGCAGAAAGAATCCTTACCAAGGAGAGAGAGCGAATACACACCTTGAATTTACGCACCAAAAGACTCTTCGCTAAGTGAGTCTAAGGCTAAAGCTATATATTATATAGGGCCTCCCTTCAACCCTTAATTATATACTGTATTAACTCGAGTTATCCACTATTTCCACCGGGCCCCCTAATCTCCGTGTTCTGAAACAAAAACCCTTAAGAAGGATTAGGCCCTGTTTAGCAACGATTGTTCCGTTCCGTTTGGCGAGTGTTTCCCATACAAAAATGGTGACCTTTCCGTTTTGAAATGGTCACTTTGTACTCGTATGGAGGAAGGGAACGGAAAGGTCGTTGCCAAACAGGACCTTAGTGTTTTCCTCGCGGTAAATACTGAGTTTGTTGACTGTGTTGGATCTCATTCACTGGGTACAGTATTCGCAATTCCAACTAGACCAATCTTGGGCTGATTCCAGGATTGACGGAGATTAGAGGTCTAGCGGAGATAGTGGATAACTCGAGTTAATACGGTATTGGGCTCTTGTGGTTGTCATCTGGTCCAGCTCAGTTCTGGGGAACAGGGTACGGCAAATCACAAAATATGATTCGTGAAGAGAACTTGAGTTGAGCGCAGAAAAACAAAGTGAGGATGGAATTTATAGCTCAGCTCATGCTCAAGTGTAAGTCTATATACCTCCAACCCTCTCCAGGACGCCGGTCACGGTATGGATGGTGACGACTGTGGTCGCGACACTTCCTCTACATCACGGCACGAGCAAACGTTCGCCGACCTCATGAGCAGCCCACGACATCGCCACCAACAACAACCTTTCCCGAAACTCTTCAGACTGCCCTTATAAGCTCGCCCATGCGTCCATCAGCTTTGGAATATCACCAGACACCCTCAGCAAGGACAAACTCTCCAAAAATCCCTACATCCTGCAACCGCTGGCTCCGACAAAGTCTTAGGCACAATCCTTCCGAAACTCCAATTTCCCCAAACAAAAGGCCAGCCTTAATCTTCACGAGTATCTATCTTTTCCAGAAAACAGCATACTCCAGGGAGAATAATATGACCGGCTCTCGGCACCCGCTGAATAGGCTTTGGAAGTACAATGGCTTAGGGCGCTATAGTATATTTCCCACACGAAACTTCTATGATCTTGGCCAGAATCTTAGGAAGTCCCATCTTCAATAGTACTTCTATGCAAGATGCTTAGAATGGGGTATCTACCTTCTCTATCATGTTCACGGGGCGGATGATTACTCCAAATCACCAGGCACTTTCTCTAGCACATCCTCAGTACCATCCATCCACCTATACCTTCTCCCTATCTACCATCTCACTCTCACTCTCGTAATCGCAATGGCTATCCCATCCTCCACCATGCTGGTACCTCCCCTCCCTCCTCTTCCCTCGTTGCTCGAGGAACTCAATCTAACATCCACCAGGGCATAATGTGGGGCCAGCTCGGTGTCCAAGCCATCTTTGTATTCTTCCGCTTCTGGATCCGCAAGTTCAAACTTAAGAGCAAGATGGCACCACCAGACTACCTGATATTCCTATCGCTATTCTGGACTCTCGTTGGAATAATCCTCATGACAATGATCACACTCCTCGACATGAAAGCCGAGGCGAGCGCGGATAATGAGTTGGAAAAGCTGATCCCATACATAGCACTTTCGAAGGAGGATATGGCAAAGTACATGAAGTATACCGTTGGCATCACTGTCTGCTACTACTCCGCCGTTTGGTCTGCAAAGGCATCTTTCTTGGCGATGTATTTCGCCCTAGGAGAGAAACTTAATAAATGGATGAGGAAGGTGCTTCTTATCGCCACGATTTTCACAGGGGTGTCTTGGGTTGCGGTGATAATCATCAACTTGATGTGGTGCAGGCCCTTGAGTAGGACCTGGTCTGTCTCCTGCCCTATCAGTATTCGTGTGCTGTCCCGTGCTAGCTAATAGATCATTATAATTCCAGGGAAGTAGTTGTCCCAACAGACCCGCAATATTGCATGTACCTCGACCTCCCAGTTTTAGCAATCCACTTTTCCTTGAACCTTAGTACCGATCTCTTCCGTCCGTCCATTCCTCCCCCTTTCAGGCCCTCTCGCATGCTAACCCCATTAATCCAGTGTTATCATTCTCCCTAATCCTCCTCCGAAGCGTACACATGCAACGCCGCGAAGTCGCAGGTTTCGCATTTGTGATACTAATCGGCAGCACCAGTATAATCGGTGCGATAGCCCGGGTGGCGGTAATCTTCCCGTACTGGGATGACTATATCCAGCGCTACGAATGGAAGCAGAAAGCCGCGATATGGTCTATGGTGGAGGGGTCCGCTGCTATAATCGCCTGCTGTTTGCCATCCTTCCGCTTATTCATTCGCAACAAGAAAGCAAAGAACCCGTTTGGCTCCTCAAGGGATGAGGAAGGGGAATTCGTCAATCCGGCTTTTGTTGTCGGGAAAAAGAAGGGGAAGAGGGGGAGGGAGGGGAAGAGGAATGTGGTGGCGGCGGTAAAGGAGGTTGAGGAAGGTGAGGAGACGCCATGGGATATTCCAGGTATAGAGTTGGCACCGTATGCTGGATCGGTGGACATGGAGAGCGATGATGGGGATGTGAGAAGGCACATGAGTATTCTAGGATCAAGGGAGAGGATCAGTGATGTTGCGCCTAGCCTTGGGAATGAGCCATGGCCTAGGACTGCCTGGGATATTCCGGGGATTGAGATTGAGTCTGATACATCGGAGGGCGGTGGGGAGGGGAAGTAACTTTGTGGGAAAATATTATTATGATAGCTCATTTTCGAGCAAGTTTGTTTAAATCTGTGGTGGATGGACGGACAGTGGATAGGTTGAGAATGTGCTCTTCAGCATGTACAGTACAGTACGATACAATTGTTAAAAGTATGATAGCTTAAGTTCTAAATGTGGCAATGATTTTTTTTATCACTCGACTTTAAACCTGCCTATACAGGCTACCCCTCAAGACCTCACCCATTACAAGTAAAACACTACATTTTTTTTAAAAAAAAAAAAAAAATTTGCGCCCCATGCCTCAGAACAAATCAATCACATCCATTGATTTTAATTTTCCGTAAACAAAGCCCCTACGAAAAACCACCCGGATCGAATCATAGCAGTCATTCTCGGAACAAAACATCATAAACCCAATTCAATGCAGGATATAAACCAACCAACCAACCGACCAATCAATCAATCAACTAATCAGTAAACTCAACATGGAAAGTAAAATGTTAGAAGATCGAAATATGGAAAGGGGAAAAATAGAAAAAGAAAAAACGCCCGCATTCACACACGAACACACAAAACAGGTTGGACGGGAAATGAAGAGGCAAAGATTGATATAAAAGGAAAAGGATAAGATAAGACAGTACCAGGAAGAGATATCCGGGAAGAAAGATGAGAAAGTAATTGAAATAGGAATGAACCACCCGCCCAACACTTCAAATGTATGTACACCCCTTCCCACTTCTCCCGCTCCCACTATCATTGCTAATCCTCCTGTCCCTCATTAACCAACAACTCAACAACCAATTGCCTCCCTTCAACCTCAGGATGCGCCATGGCAACTTTAATAGTCCTAGTGCCGGCGCTACCACCGCACTGGGCATCATCAATGCACCGGCAGTCCCTACCGGCAATGACCTGGCGCAGGCGGCCATTGTCGGCGTTCCTGATTTCGACAAAGTCGTTGTCGAAGATGAGGATATAAGGGCCGTAGATGGCGACGGACTTGGCCTTGCCGACAAATTCCATGATTACACTGCGGGAGATGTCGCCGTGTTTGTTGACGTAGACGGCGCATTCTGCTTAGTTAGCTTTGTGATGCGATGGGGGGGAAAGGGGGGATTACCTTCATAGCAAAGCAAGAATTCGATATCTGAAAGACGGAACATGCCTAGGGGCTTCTGGCCCTGTAATCGACTGGCGATGAGAGTAACGTGGGAGGCTTTAAGCTCCGGTACGGACCAGGCCTGCTTCTTGTCTAGGGTCATGACTTCAAATCCCTTGCTAGTCTGAATAGCGAGTGACGAGTGGAAAAGGTTAATCCCGTAGCAATCTGTGGGGATATAGAACTCGTCGAATTCCTGGAAGAAGCCGGTAGTGCCCTTCCGTGAGAAGCGAGACTTCTTCTCGGGTGCTTTCTGGAACACAGGTTCGAGGACTTTGAATGTTGAAGAGAGACCCTCACGCTTCTTGTAGAATACTAAACTGCGCTCTTTCATCCGGCCGGTCGCGAAGAAGCCGACGTCTTTTCCGCCCGAGAGTTTCTGCGGCGGGCGCTGCTTGACGGCGGCATCTGGAGAGGCGCCAGGTGGGGGAATTACTACATCCAAGTGGTAGGCTATTAGGGATTTGTCCGAGAGGACGAGGAAGAGACTGAAGTCTTCGAGGACGGCGATTTGAGTCACTTTGGGGAGGTTGATAGACTATTATATGTTAGCACAACAACTCACCAATATAGAAGAGACAACCTACCCGTTGCCAACCTCGAGGGTTCTTCGCATCTGCCGTGAAAACACCATAATCCGTTCCAATGGCCACCATTTCTCTACCATAATTGACCGTAAAAGCAGTCGCACAATTGACACTCGCTCTGCAGATAACGCCTGGCCTTGGTCCTGGCGCCTTCTCGTACATCTTCTCAACCTCCCCGATGGCACGATCAAGAGGGGTACCCCGGACAATAATCGGTTTAGGTCCCGATTGAGCAGTGGTTTCGTACCCAAAGGCAGTATCCGCCATAACCTTCAATCGGAAAGGCTCAGCATTCTGCGCATGAAGGCTCTGCGCATGGCGTTCCTTAGCCTGAATGATCTTCTCGCACCAGTCCATACGATTCTGCTGAGTTGGAGCATATAAGATATAGGTATTGTCGTCCGCCTTGAAGGAACGGTTTCCAAGATGCTTGATGCGGAAAGGATACATCACACGGTCGTCGCCTGCACTGCGATCTGGTAACGCAGTGACCAGCCTACCGGGAGCAGTATTGGTAGAAGTAGTAGATAAACCAGTATTAGAATGTGTGAGTGCTCCAGGACTAGGAGTTGCGGCTATGGTATTGTGTCTGCCGGACTTTTGCTCATTCTTATCCTTTGCTGCTGCTGTAGGGCCTCCGATACCAAGTCTGTTTGCTGTGCTCCTGACAACCGGCTCGTCATTGGTGCTTTCCAGGACAAGCAAATCCATAGGAATTGGCTGCAAATCATTAACTATAATCGTCTTCCTCTGCCAACGAACAACGGGCACATACCATTCTAGAAACGTCGTACCTCCCATGTTTGGCTCCACCATGCGCGTCCTTTTGCATTGTAGTCTTTGCCAAGACCAGATAATGATCAAACAAGATTGCATGAGTCTCCAACCAGGTAAATCTGTTATTCCCATTTCTCTGCAAATCCCCTTTGAAGATTAATTCTCTGCCCTTCTCGTCAAGCCTGAGGTCCACGTCCCATTGCCTCATCATCAACCTTGTGTCCAGCTCCCAAAGTGCCACACGTTTGCTCATCTCATCGACGCGCGCATCACATTCTAACGTGACCGCCTTGATCTCCTCGATAGCCTTCTGGAGTATCTCCTTCTCCTCGCCCTCAATAACAGTGTGCTTTAACACCGTGAAAAGCAGTAGAGAGTATCTTTGCAATCGAGTGATGGGCGCCTTCAGAAAAGTAACCCAATCCAATCTTCGAGATCGGGGATCTTGTCGGCACTGTTCGAGGAATTGCCTAAAAAGAAGGTTCCGCTCGGCTTCTCTTCGAACAAGCATATCTGCCTTCGGGAATGCCGCCGCATATTCTAGATACGCAGTCTTTGCCTTTCGGATCCATTCTCGGAAAATATCGCTGAACCCAACGATCCAAGGGCCCTGCTCGCGCTGTCGGAACTTCAGTTGGGGGAGCAAATGCTCCTCGGAAACCTTTCTTACGGCATCAGCCTTACCAAACACATCTTTGACGAAACCATCCAATCTGGTTGGTTTAATGATTGGCGGCTGAGTATTGGCTATAGGATCACGATATAGCGCTTTCAAAACCCTCATGTGCTCCATGTACTCATCCTCGGTCTGCACAATTTCGTGCAAATTGTTCTGTCGCTCGATCTCCTTTTTACTAACATCAGCAATATCCTCCTTCTTGATTTTCCAGAAAGTGGCCCAATCCTCCTTCTTCTTGTCGAATTCGTCTGGATGTTGCGACAGCGTAATCTTCCGTAATGTCCTCGCGCAATGGTGAGCATAACATCTTCCAGGGCACTCGATCTCATGCAATTTTGGAGCATAGCATCCGTTACCAGTGATCTGGAAAATAACACCAGACACTTCACCCTCTCCAAACTTAACCCATTCCTCATCTATGACAAGAGCGCGCTCCTTTATCATTCCAGAGACAACTCTAACCGCGAGTGCTTCCGCATCCGCAACATTCATGGTAGGAACGTAATGCGTGAACAAAGCCACGATACCTTCCTCCACCGCAGGTTGTTTAAGATCTTGTTCACCCTCAGTCATCTCCTTCAGCCACGCTTGAATTGCGCTCAATGCCCATGGTGTCGGGCAATTTCTAAAATCGCGACTACTCAGCTTCTTCGGATCGAACTTCTTTGTTAAGGGTATCGGAGGTAAGTCATTGAGCGTGAGTTCCTCAGCATTGACCGCAAGGGTTTGAGCCCCAGTTGGAAGCGCCGACTGTCGGTGTCCGCGCGCTGGATGCGCTTTCCCGTCTGTCTTGGATCGAATTGGGGGTATGGTCGGTGGGGTGCTGGTATGACTAGACATGCTCGTGGATCTCGGGAATTGAGGTCCAGGTCCAAGAACAGGCATTGTAGGTCCGATGACCTCGGCAGAAGTAGGCGTAGCATACGGCCGCATCGTTTGTACTCTGCCGGCGACTGGAAACTGCTGCTGGTAGGGCGGTAAATCCTCTGGATACGGCAAGCTACCAGTCGCCATGAGATCATTGTAGGGCGGACTCGGCAGAGGCCTCGTATTAACCGGGCTACCGTAAACGCCGCCTGCAGGAGGATGGTAGAATAACTCTGGGAGATCGTCATCCGAGTCGTTCTGCAGCTTCGAAGGACTTTGTGACCCCGATCTATCAACATCTTCATCGCCATCGTCATACGACATAGGCCTTCTCTGGGAAGATGGCTCCGCAAGCCCTCCAGTTCCCCAAGTATCCACCCGAGCATTCTGAAACTGTGGAAACGGGTGAACATCCATATCATTCGGGATCGCAAACTGAGAATATTCTGGAAGTCTTGGAGCCGTAGAAGACGAGCCAGCAGCACTAGACGTACGCCCCATGTCATTACCCCTAGCAGGTGGTGGGGGCGGGACCGACTTGTAGGTTGGTAGGACCGGAATATCATTATTTCCACCATATGAATCGGCACCGTAAAAGCCCGACATTCCAGGAAACCCACCATACATGGTCATATCCACCCCTGGCGGAAAGTCGCTATCACTCTCTACATCTTCGGTTGTCTTGTTCGGGGGTGTTTGTGTCGAGGGGTCCTCCATCGCCCTCCGTTCCCTCTCTTCTTGAACTTCAGCGAGTCTCATCATCGCTAAGCCCTCTGCGGCCTCCGCGTCGCTCTCGCCCGAATAATATCCGTACCGTGTCTGAGCAGTCGTAAGATGGCCGTTGGTAGGGCCTGAACCGTTTTGCGAGTAAGGTACTCGGCCAGCACCACCGAATAAAGGAGCCGGACCCTCCTCATGTTGGTCATTCATGGGAACAGGCCGACGGCCGGGTGCTTGTTGTGGCTTGTTCTCCATCTCTGCTAATGATGCCTCGACGTCCGCGTATAATTCTTCTGCTGCCTCTTGCTCTTTACGTTGTCGCCCTTTGTCGTGTACTCCATGAGGTGCGTGAGGCAGTGGTCTTGCTTGCGGGTGCCGTGAATCCTCGACACTGTGCCCCTGGCGAAAAGCTCCATGCGAGGGCGGTGTCGGAGGAGGTGGCGAGGGTAAAGGGTTCGTGCCAGCAACGTTGTAGCCCGTGTTTTGCAGGGGTTCCGGTCGATCCTTGGGAGGGATTGGGAGGGGGTGTCCCACCTGATCTGGACCGGAGATATCGCTATCCGAACCCGAGTTGTAGTGCGTTTCAGGCCTAGTTAGATAAGACTTGTTCCCCTGAGAAACAGAGGTTTGGTGACTTAGAGAACTATGTTGGTAGGCAGTGGAGCCAAATAGAGGCTGCCCATAAGATCCCGGCGCAAACCCTGGCGATCCGGGGGGGTGTGGAGGGGGAGGTGGGGGTGGAGGTTGGTATGTGCTTTGGGGAGGAGCAGACTGCGCCGGAGGGGGTGGAAGGAGACCCGGAGAGTATGGTTGACCTGACCCATAGAGGCTTGACGTAGTAGCGTATTGCGGCCTAGTGGCATACTGAGAATAACCAGGCCCACCCCCAAATGATTGCGAAGGATGAGATTGCAATGGGGCGGTCTGGGGTACCGCACCAGTCCGATACGTGCCAGTGGGATAAGAGGCAGTATTAAAAGTGCTTGGATTATAAGTGGCCGTGGTAGGCGAAAACTGCCCAGAATTGTAGTTACCAACACCAGCGGTAGTCGCGTGTCTTTGAGGCTGATATTCGGGAGACACGCCAAAACCTGCACTCGTGGCATGACGTTGGGGTTGGGCTTGATAAGCAGCTGGATTGTACGGCTGATGTTGAGATCCATTGTACCCGGACCCAGGAGTAGTAGGATACGGAGCCGACGATGGAGCAGTATCATAAGAAGTGTTGGAGAAGGCGGGAGAATATTGGCCACCAGGAGTAACAGCGAAATAACCACCAGAACTGGCCTGGCTCTGGGTGCGGCCCACGGCAGAAGTGGAAATCGGGCCCACAGATCCCCGTCTACTCGGATCGTGAGGGGTGGAATAAGCACGATCGTAGAACAACTCCTCAGGGCCCCTGATGCTTTGACGGGCGCCGACACCGGTTCCCCCATCAAAGTAAGTCGCATCATCTCCATTATCGAAGCTCGGTGTCCGCGAGCGCAAATAGTTTTGTTGAGCTGCTCCCCGAGAGTTGTTGCCGACGTATCCCCTCCCACCTCCACTTCCACCACTGGCCGAGTGACTCCGATAGGGCTCGGACATTTCGAATTATTATTACAAGGTTGGTTTGTCGGTTTTTTTTTTTTCCTTCTCTTTTCTTTTCTCTTCCGTGGCCGTCTTCCCCACGATGTTTTTTTTTTTTCTGGCGATTTTTAACCTCTCAGTTGGGCAGACCAGCTGAATGGGGAGGTGGATTTTCTGGCCTAATCGATGGGATGGGACACCCGGGAAAGGGGGGGGCGTGTGTGTGTGGTTCGCGGTTGAGGTGCGGGGAGGTGTCTGTGTCTCTGGTCTGTGTCCGTGGCCTGGTTCCTCTTCTGGGCTCCTTCCCTGGCGTCAGCAGCGAAGTCCGTGTAATTGGGCTATAAATGCATACTCTGCCTGTGATGGCAACGACGAGGACGGGAGCTCGGCGGAGGGGGGTAATGAAGAGTAAAAACAAATGAAAATAAAGCGGTAGCCCAAAGATGAAAAAAGCGAGCGTGAAAAGGTAAAGTACCACCAGTATTATAGCAGCTAGGATTTATAGGTCGTAATAACAATATCTCCCTATCCAAAGACATGAATAGAAGAAGGGCAAAGAAGAAAGTGAGTAAATTTAGGTTAAGTGAGAGAGGAGAGAGAGAGGAAGCAAGAAGATCAAATAGGACGATAGCGTTCTGCCACCCCAACACCTTTTTTTTTTTTTTTTTCCCCATCGCTCTATCCAAATCCCACCCCATACCCCCTCCATAAGAGACTTACTTACTTGGTCATGATGATGAACCTTATGATACGATACATCTCAATGAGCGAACCCCACAGTACCAAGTGCTGTATGATACTAATAGTAATACACACACAACCCGCCATACACATAATGCACCACAATTCTCGAGATGCCATGACCATCATCATATCATACTATTTTCTACTATCTTCAAGCGCCAGAGCCTCAGCGCCATCAAAGCAGTGCCCCAACCCTCCCCCTCCACCTCCTTCAAATATATCCCAAATATCGTCGCAAACAGAGTAGTCTCTCTCATCCTCAAAGCAAAAATAGCAGCAAAAACCACATCCGCACACAAAAATACCCTTCGCTCTCTCGCACTTAACCAGTTCTATAACCGAGATCACGTGATCAACGTGGTTATTCTGCCCAATCTGACAAAGGGCGCAGAGATTACAGAAAAACAGTATAAGATTTACAAAACGAGCCCCAATCGATAGACATCATTTAACCCAAACTTCCGTCACTGCTTGTAATCCAAGGCTTATTTTTACGTTCGCTGTCGCACAGTGCGCTTAACGGATTCAACGGAAGTACTTCATCATGGATCACTCGATTGCAGTGCCAAACCTCACAGAGACAACCAGGGGCCATTCCGAAGTACTGAATTCTCTTCGCCTTTAAACCATCCAACGCTATAAGCATGCAGTGAGGGGTTCATCAAGGGGAGAGGCGCATTGCTCGTATGAACTCCCACCCGCAAGCCAAATTCGAGTGATCAAGAATGACGCTGACAAGCTAACCCAACGGTACTGTACAAGATGATACCGGTAGGTAAAGAAGAAAAGTAAAGGGGGTTTTAAGCTACTTCAGAGGGAAACACGGCGGCTCATCGCAAACAATATTCTTCCGAATTATTTCAATCTCTTCTTCCGAGAAGCCACACTGCTTCTCAAGATACCCCCTTACCCCGCCAAACTCCTCGTCGATTATTTTGAGGGTTTTGAGCATGGTGTCTTTTCTGCTCGGGTATTAGCAATTACCGCCATCGCCAATCAGGATAAGGGAGAGAGAGCCGAGGCACCTTGAACTGAGCATGTTCTCTAGACCTTGAATTGCTTCAGCGTCCCCCTTGGCAAACAGTGGCTGCTTAATCAGATGATCCCAAATTGCCTCTTTGACCGATCCCATGCCTAGTGTCGTAAGGGCGTACTCCTCCGCAATAACCTCCTCGCCAACACCAGCTAGTAGAAGTATCAATGCGGTAATGACACCCGTTCGGTCCTTGCCAACAGTACAGTGTATGAGCAGTGGCTCATCGGGCCGCGTAAGGACATGCGAGAGGATAGAACGATAAGCTGTTTTCCCGCCGGCTTGGAGTATGCAACGATATGCTTCTGTTAGGTCGCCGGAGGAATAAGACTTGAAACGGAGGGCCACATTTCTAATTTGCTGAGCAATTGGTGGAAGGAGGAAATGGGGAGGTAGAGGGGGATCATACTCTGGAGAATAATCCACATCTTTAAACACAGGTACAAAATTCCTGGTTATACCTTCAATCTCAATAATTGGCGTCTCCTTCTCCATTCTCTTCAGCTCGGGTACCGAGCGGAGGTCATAGGTGTGGGAAACTTTCATTGTATCCCTTAGCAAAATCTTTCCTTCTTCGGTAATTCGCGAGGGCTCAGCCGAACGATAAATGTAGGCACGTCGAACCTAGCATGTACTCCGTCAACAATCCCCACCAACAAAAATTAATTGAAGGGGGAAGACAAAGGTCAACCAAGGTCAACGATGAAGGGGGGAGGTCATACACTGCCGGAACCGTCCCTAAGTGGGTACCCTCCAATGTCGCGAAAGTTGGCAATTCCCTGAACCAGTTTCCATGGCGGCCTACTCAATACTGCGAGGGTTTCCTCGGTGTACGCCGGTGTATATCTCGAAGCCATTTTTTTCCCTCGCACCTAGCTCGAGTGTTTGAAGTGTTTGAAGGAGAAATTGCTTCTTCTTATTCTGAGAGCTTAGGTACTGGAGAGAATGAAAGAGGGGGGGGGGAGCCGGTTCTGTTGGGAAAGGCGCAGCTGTCCACCAATGAATGGTACGATACAGTACAGAAGCTATTGCAGCTTGTCGTAGCTCAAGACCCTGAACTTTGTGGTAACGGCTGATCTTTTGGCGAAGGGTTAACAGCAAAGGGTTTGGCTTTAAGCTACCGGTACCTTTACCAGATCTAGCTGGGGGAGTAGTTCTGATCGTACCTGAATTGGCGCTTTTGCGGGGGTGTTTCCCGGTCTCATTAAAGGTTGGCTGAGCAGAAGGAGAGCAGGTTGAGCGGGGTATAGGGTACTGTACCAAGACTGTTGGTTAGAGCCGCAAGGGGTCAGCAACCCGGAACTAGGAGACTTCACCAATTCTCACTTGAAAAGTGATCCGCAGAATTATTTGACAGGATGCCCCAGCTAGCGGTAACATCCGGCCCAAGAGATACTCGTACAAACACTACTGATGCTTGTTGAGTGAGGAACTTTGTATTTCTCTTAGAGGGTACATTGTTTCGCCCGTTCATATCTGCGACTCCCTGGGACTTCTGGTAAGGCAACTTTATAAAGAATCGCACAATCCTCATCCTGTTTGAACATATCACACCAGATCCGCACCTCGCAAAAAAGCGCATAATGTCGTGCATTAAATATTACACATTCCCATCGGCGGACAGCAGCATAAATTCTGCCCAGAAATCCCCTATCTCCAGTACATTAACCCACAGTGAAGCGACTGCGCAATGTAGTGACAACGCCCACATAATAACTGTGGGGCAGGTATCATTTGTATGGGCATTCTCGCTATACAGTGGGCTCGCTTGACGTGGAATACCGTACAGTGTACCCAACCCCACCCCACACTTCTAGAGCCTAGCATTTCCCTTTGTGTTCACACTCTTAATCTCAAATCCCTTCCTTGGGAATACAACCTTGAGTGAACCGCCGCCCGCACACGCCTCCGTTGGCGTAACTTCGATAATAATCCTATCCTTCACAAGAGCCCTAACTCTTCCCCTTTGTGGGTGATTCTTTCCAGTATCGACAGGCGTAACCTCCACTTCTTCACCGAGAGCTACGCCGGAGGGGTCGTTATCGGGAACTCCTGTATCACTGGTAGAAGAGGTGCTCGCTTGCTCGTGATGTAGAATTAAGTCTTTTGCTTCGGCACCCGTTATGGTGGGGATTTTGACAGATTTGGAAGCGGGGAAGAGTGCTGTGAATCGTTTGACCCACGAGAAGGTTTTTGGGTAGGTGTCCGCGGTGACGGTGGAGTCCAGGGCACCCGGGAGGGTGGTTAGCCATTCCAGTGGCCAGATAGCTGAATTTTATTAGCTTTATAGAATGGGTAAGTGATATCGTGAGAAGCTACCCTCGACATCTGCCAACGTCATCTTATCGCCGAGGATCCAGTCGCGGTCGTCAGAAAGAACTTTCTCAGTGTGGCCGTAGAAGCCTCTAACTCTCTCGAAGGCCTAGAGGTGTCAACTCCCATGCAAACGCCAATGGTAGACTAAGCAACAGAGTAAATACCCTCTCCCTCCCAGCATCAACATCCTCCTTCCTATAACTCTACACCACCAACAAATTAGCTCCACCCCCAAACCCCTTCACACACACAGACACATACCCTTCCACTATAATCCTCCCGATCTTTAACAAACTTCTCATCCTTCATCAACGGCAAATTACTCGGAATCAAGGCAGCAGCGTAGGGGAACACCTGATCGCTCCAAGCTTCCCACTCCTCCCACGCGTCACCATTCTCTCCCAACCTTCCCTTAGGAAACTTCTCCTCAAGGACCCTAACGATCAACGACGTATCGCAGAACATCTCGTTCCCAATCGACAGTAGCGGGATTCTCCTATATTTGATGCCCAGCTCGGCCAAATCTGGCCGGGGCATCATCGGCGGTTGAATACATTGCTTGTATGGGATTCCGCGCAGCTGGAGGTACCAAGTGATTTTGTGAGCGTAGGGAGAGTAATGCTACAGGTATCAAGTCTCAGCCATCTGGGCGCAAGCAGTGTGCGCAGGAGAAGAGTTACCCAAGGAGGGGGTAAAAACATACATAGTGAAAAAGGATAATAGTAGGCACTGGCTGTGTAGACATTGTTAGCAGGTTATGTTTAGTTGAGACAACACGAAACGCGATTGACGCAAAAGAAGGGCAAGCTCGCGCAGAGCCGGTACTCGTACACAACCGTAGATGTATCATCACCCACCACCACCTCCCCGTAACACAACGGCAAGACCTTCCACTGCCCCGCGGGAGAGTGTGACGAAAAAGCTGGGGTACCGAGGTTGTCAGACACTACTTTTATGCAGGCCGGGTAATGCGCAACGGGTGGCCTAGGAGCACTGGTATCATACCTCGAACTGGCAGTATCGATATCATCGAAAGTGCAGGGTTGGAGGGAATGATTGAGGGGGGGATTCTGGTATGATGTCTCTGGTATCTTTGGGGGGGGGGGGGGGTTCGGCAATTTCTATGGCTGGGGAAATGGAGGTTGGCACTGACTTGTGTACCGGTACAAGTACGTATGGGGCTTTGGTAAATTCAGATCATTAACATGATCGATTTGCGACAATGAGGAGGCGAAGCTGGTCAAGGATTGTGCTAGCTACTGTATTCACAGCAAGGTGTGTCTTTGCCATCGCGCTGGATATTGTAGCGGCTCAGTGGGCTCTTTGCATGGTGGGGGGATGAAGTTGGGTGCAGTAGATTGTTAGCACCTATTGACTTGCTATACCGTAACTCGACGTGAACTCGGTGTAGTGCTCTGAGCTGACCTTATATACAAGTGGGATGGCAGCGGAGCGAGGGAGAGGATATTGAAGGGTATTCCATCCGTAGTCTGCTGGAGCTCGGATATAGTTTTTCCCGAATTGGGGGGCGTGATTTGATTTCTAATCGCGATTTGCAGAACCATAATTTGAAACCGACCAATCACAAACGCATGAGGGGGTATGTCAAGAGGTTAATTTACTTGTAAGATTGATTAGTTCTGAATCGATTCGAAACCAAATCACGTGTCCCCCAAACACACCCACTGGTGATTGGGCTAAAAAGTTCTGCCAGACACCACCCAACCTATTATCATACTGGTATTAATAATTGGTAATGACCGAGTACTGTACAGTAATTCTTGTCAGTTGGACTGAATTCAGCAGCAGAGCGAAAGGGATAAATTAGAGGGGAAGAAGGAACGAGAGGGGTGGATTGGAGCCACCCGCCGAAGTAAGAAAAGGCCAACTCGATATCACCAAGGTTTTTGAAAAGCAGACAAACGACAGCTGTAGAGCCAGTCGTGAGCCTGCGGAATTCACCATTCAAATCATAATAATGCTCTGCTTTAACGCACAAATGATGACCGGTGTGTTGATACTCGTACTGGGAGCGTCGTGGTGGCGTTCGTGACACGGCAGATAAGGGAGCGGATCATTAAGCACGATATTTATTGGCTGCTATAGCCCACAGGAATTTTGATAGTATGATACCGGTAGAGTCATCATGCCTTGTACGAGTACTGTACAGTACGGTACTGTACACCACCCACATTAAGTCAAGCACTCTGGGTATTTCAAGTCAAAAAGTGGAAAATAGACTACTGTACAGTACCTGGCTTATCATACTTTGCGGTTTCATGAAAGCTCGGTGCACACAGAATCAGTTAACATGCATCCAATTACTTTAACATTATGATACTTTTTTCCTGGGTATGGATAGCTACCGAGGCTAGCTGGTTAGTAACTAGCCTAGTACCGTAGCAGGTAATATCATACAGAACTAAGTTCAACAGAACATCAGAACTCAGCAATGATACTCGAGTAGATGGAGCAGATCTATTTTAACCTCTAAAACTCTACTACCCGAGACATGCGTACTCAGTATACTATTAGCTAATACCATAGAGTAAGCCAATGCAACCCCCCCCCCCATATTTACCCGTTACTGGGAAAATCATCTTCTTAACTTTGAATACCTCCCAGTCTTCTAGCACTCGGGAATGGACGTGGGTGACCGGACAGCCAAGGATTAGTGATGTCCTCCTATTCCCTACTCGAGTATACGCAGTCATACATCCCTCGACCAGCCGAGACCTCCTTGCAGAACTACCGGTATCCGTCGAACAAACAGGACCCCACCCCACCTCGGCGTTCGGTTAGCCGTTATGGTTATTATTAATCTTACGGCTGTTTGGAATTCCGACCCGGGGCATCTCGTTCTGGCTGGCCGGTCGGTTTTAGCGGAGCATTATCCGTCGGAACCTCGGAGGCATTACTTCGGTGTGATGGAGAGTGCGAGTGCGAGTGCGAATATGTCCGGCCACCTGCCATACTACCGTACTGTAATTCGGGCATGAGGATCCAGGAAATGGAAATGACAAGAGTAATAATATGCCAATACCGGTACTGGCTCGACAAATCCAATCGTGAGGGAAAACCCTAGAACCAAGATACAGACGGTACAGCATCTCACTGGTTCAAATCACCAACCAAAGCCATAATACTGTACAAGTAATGCATTCTGGAGCTTCCCAAATATGGACGTCTCCGCATCCAACCAACCCCACGAGGATATGAAACCTACGTGCAGTCGCCCCCCCCTACGAGTATCCAAAGCACCTTCCAACAATTCCGCACCCACCTCACACACAGTCCTATGAGTCAGAGCTCCCGGGGATCCACGATGCGGGTTTCCCTTTCTCTCACCCGAGTGACACCTGATGACCACAGAAAAGTCCCCCCAGCAGCCATCAAACGGAGGAGAGAAGAGATCACAAAAAACAAAACACCATCCTTCGTTCTAGCCGGGGGAAAATCGTCCCGAGATAACACATGGGAGCGGAACATCATTACTCCCCCGAAATGTAGCACAAGAAAAGCAATTAACGATGACTCGACGCGTCGCGCTAGCCTCGTTCCCTAGCCGTCCAACAACGCGTCTTCCCCGCAGATAGCAGTTTGCTAAGTCTCAGGCTTTCTTTGAAGGCATGTGCCGATAAGGGGTTTGTGGGGATGGGGGGGTATAAAGACCTTGGAACATGTCCTCCCTTTTGTTCTTCCCCACCAGCAAAACTCAATTGACTTCAACTTCACCCTCAGATTTACACTTCGCTCAAGAGATTCTTATCCACCTTTCACTTCTTTTTATCGTCAGAATGGTTCATCATATTAGCTTTCGTGTTGCGGATATGGACAAGACTGTCGAGTTTTATCTCAAGGCTCTCGGTCCTCTTGGGCTCGTCTTTCTCCCTCCATATCCTGCTTCCTCCCTTCGCTCTCCGCTAATTAAATACCCTTCCTAGCTATGAAAAATGCCTTGCATTCCCCGGCGTTCAGTCAATTGGATTGAAGCACCACCCGACTATCTGGTTCCAGCAACTCACACCAGAGGATACCCGCGGCGTCGTTAATACCCTCCACATTGGGATCCAAGCCAAGGACCACGCTGAAGTTGATGCATTCTATGCGGCTGCCATGTATGTCCTTACCTACCTACTATCCCCCCCCCCACGGTCCCCCCAGAGCTATTCCACTAACCAACCGGCCATTCACATAATTTAGTGCCGCGGGAGGCAAATGCAATGGACCACCCGGACCTCGCCCTCAATACACCAAGACCTACTACGGTGCTTTCGTGTTCGACCCGGAAGGAAATAACCTCGAGGCCATGTTTATGGATCCCGTGAAGGAGGCCGAGGCTAATGCGGAGGGTTGCACGGCTGCTAAGGCACAGGGGGCCTAGATTACATGTTTTTTTTGGATATGCAAGGCTTTGTCGACTCCTCGTCTGTGAGGGGTGAAATGTGAAAGTTATTGAAGATTTCAAATTTTGCAACCGAACGTTGAGAGTGCAGATCGAGTGAGGTCTTATGAACATGTAACTCGTGCTTTGATTCGAGAATTAACTCTGCGGGTGGATAACTCTATCACAATGCCCTTACCACTTTGTATAGCCATGAAAAGAAACCGGATTGCACACGCGCTAGAAAGAGCCCCCTTGATAAAACCCCAAGACAACTACTCGTAGAGTCCGCGGAAGCTTTATGATACGAACAAGAATTAGACCAAGTTGACCCACCACGCACCATATCCGGACGCCCAAATCCCCCCTCCCTTCCCCATCCCCATGCTCCCACCTCCCATACACATCAAATCACATCACATCACACCACATCACATCTACCTATATACCTCTAACCACCCCCCCCCCACCCCCAAGACAGCAAAACACTATAACCCTCCACGCCCACGGTGCAAACCCAATGACCAGGAAAAGCTTGAAAACCAGGTACGTGACGAGCACGTACGCCGACAAGGGTAGGTCATGCCGCGCGCCATTGTCGTTGTCAGCATCGGTATTGGCTATCTCTAGCGGGACGATTTCGTAGATTTTTCGGTGAGCCTTGTGCATCAATTTTTGTTTTGTCGCACGAACTTTTATAATATGATAGATATTTCTTTTCGGGCTTCTTGTTGGAGACCAGGAAAGGGAAAGGGGTATATAGAGGGGGAGGGGGCAAACGGTGTGCGGGCGGGTGATGTTTGGCGTTTGTTTTTACAATGGAATTGTAGAATTGATTCTCGGTCGTTCGTTGGTGTGTGTTTGTTTGATATTAAAATAGCATTAGCATCGCAACCATGTATTAGGTGAGGGCCATGCAGGCACAGGGGGAACGGTACAGTACGAGTACAGTATACTGCGGAAGGAATGAAGTGTATTTCGATAGATAAGTATCATAAGAAACAGCGTAGTATGCCACAAGGTGGCGGAAGTTTAAGCATGGCTTTTTCATAGCGGGGATAAAGGGTGGTACAGTACAGTACAGTACAGTACAGTACAAGTACAAGTACTACCAATGTATCCTCGGACAATTAGACATAATAATTATTATCACAGTGTTAAAAAATCTCCACCCGAGATAATTGATCCTGGCCAAGCTCCGATAATAACACGCCGTCAGCATGCACAGGAGACACGTCTAGACTATGTACTGTACTGTACTGTACTGTACTGCACTGTACCGGTAGAGTAGATATATCACACAAAACATCGGGAAAAAAACCCCCCCCCTTCTCCGCGGCAACATACGAGTATAATCCAGGGGCTTGACTTTTGATACACACAGCACATACCGCACTTTTACTTGTTCGCACTTTTTCTTTCCCCTCGCGCATGTAAATTCCCATATGGATGGATATCTGTACTCGTACGAGTAGAAGAAGAAACTGCCGACATACAAACATCCCAAGTTTTGATCCCTTTTTATCGTACCCCCATGATAATTATGATAATAACGGAGCGCAACCGAGTGACCCATGATGACCGCATACCCCGCAACCCCGCACGAAGATGATGCCTTCCTTCCATTCATGCAAGGACCGATCCATCTCCCTGTGCCCATCCGTCCGTCTATCCACCTCCGGAACGAGCAAACTGCCACCGCCACCTCGGTAATTTCAACGGCACCCGGCAAACAAATCATCATACACCCCTTCCCCTCGCTATTCTGAGTTCCAGGAGCGCGCTGGCTGAACTGCAGAAATCCTGTTTCAGCCACTTCCTTCTCAGATAGGAATCATCATCGATCACTCGTGGAATAATTGGGTGGGAAGTGATCAATGTGAGATTGGTGGAACCCCCCCCCCTCCCCTGTCTATCATGGTACCCTTACCCTATATGTACGAGTATCGTAGGATGGGGGAGAGGAGCGGGAGGGGAGAGGAGGGAGGGGCCAAAGTAAAGACAGACTACGACCCCACGGGAGGTTGTTGGTCAAAACACTTGCCTGTTCGCGTTTTTGTGTTGTTGTTCAGGGAGGTACAGTGTCATAGCTTGTTAGATAGATAGGGATTTCAAGGAACTGGTATATATGGTTATCATAAGGCAAGTTAAAGTTAGTTTGTTGGACAGCGCAGAGTCCACTCGTAACAGTACAGTACAAACAATCTACACAGTCTGGCCTGTCTATCACTTCCTCCCGATCCGATCTCTTGCGGTATGGAACCACAACGGATAGGTTAGGCTATGCTATGCTACGTTACATTCCTCCTTGCTCGCTGTTTTTTTTCTTCTTCTTTCTTTCCTTTTTTTCCCTCTCTTTCCATTCGTTTTTTTTTCTTTTTTTCCCTTCTCTGTCTTTCTGTTGTTGGGGCCGATCTTTGAATCGGGGCTGGAAGGGGGGGGGGGAGGTGGTTCTGTTTAACATTTTTCCAAAAGGGAAGAAAGAACAAAACCAAACCAAAGGGAAAATAAAGATTAAAGTATAAATAAATAGAATGCTTGAAAGGTCATAAAAATTTTATTCATTTATTGGTTAAATGCAACGGATCATATCTGGAGCTTGCCGGTACAGTACGGCGCTGCAATGTGTGAGTACGGTAGAGCACGATAAACTAGACTTACCGTACCGTACCGCACAAGGAGGCCACGGTAGGCGCAGATATTGCATCTGGCCTGAGCGAGCAGAGAAAGTCCAATATTATAGGCAAAAAAGTGTTACCGTGTCCTATCGTATCAAAATGTCACCATCCACTCATTGCTCATTCATTCGTTAGCTCGCTCATTCGTTCATTCTAGCAGCGCCTGCAAATATTTGCACAAATGCCGGGAGTAAAGTAGTGTAGAATATGAGAGCATATCGGAGTATGAAAGGCTCCCTATCACGAAACGCGCACACGATATGACACTTTGTAGCGGCATACCGTACGTACAGTAGAGCACTGTGCTGTGCACCGCGGTACAGATAGCAAGTCAAGCGCGACAAGCAGATACCATATCTCCGTAATAAACCCTCAAATACCATAGAATTGAAGGAAGGATGAAAGGGAGACGACAAAAAACACTCATCGAATTTTTTTTCTCTCGCAGGGGCCAGCTTAAAATAACATGCAGAAAAGGCCTCGTAGTAGCACAGGATTAGATAGATACCGGTGCCGGTATGGGTAGATAAAGATAAGTCAGATACCGACACTTTGTACGCCAGTAAGCTAGTGTGCGAGTGAACCCTTTCACCCTTTCACCCTCTCCTTCTCTCCGCGTGCTCGCACATTCCTCGACCCCTACGGTAACGATAACTTACGCGTGTTCAATGTGGGTAAGCGCAAGAGCAGGAGAGACAAGGAGAGCAGTGCATGCAGATTTGCGCGATTATAGTATCGCAATTTAGATCTTCACATGGGTGGTGCACCGGTATTTGGTTAGCGTGGCTCTGGTCTTTTTTTTTTTTTTTTGAGTATTGGGGTTTGTGATAAGGAGAGTGAGTGAGTTACGGCCCGGTGTGTCGGTTTGTTGGTGGGTTAGTGGTGAGAGTGGGAGATGGGATGGGGTAAATTCTCGGGAGATTATTGGGAAAAGGGGAGGAAGGAGGGAAGGAATGAAGGCGAGAAATAAACGGAGCTTTCAGGTAGGCGACAAAAACGACGACGAAAAAGGAAAAGAGGTATGATAGAACTGCATAGACGATAAAACCATATCGTGCCAAAAGCAAACAAGAGAACGAGAGGGAAGAGAGGGAAGAAGAAAAAAACCAACCAAAGACTGCTCGAGTACTCGTGCGAAGGGAAGGGGACAAAACAAAAACGAGATAAAACAAAGCTTATCCGACGCCTTGGACCCAACACTCTTCCCTTGACTTCACTTCCCTTTCGCATCGCCAGCCTAAACAAGCAAGTAAGCTCCAGCCCCAGTGGCTAGAGAAGTCCAGATGCAGGACAGGGGGAAAGGCAGTGATACAGAACCGGGAACCAACGGCTGACAGGATAAAGTACTCGTATCGTAGTGTACGAGTACCGGTAGTGGTGGAGGAAGGAGGGAAAGGAGGAAAGAAGATAGATACCGTGGGAACTCCGTGCCCGTGGCTATCGGTAACTCTGCATCCATGAGTACGAGTATGATACAATATAAAGTTATGATACCATTCGAGTATTGTGCCGGTAAGTTACGCTAAGACTAGCATGCCGGTATCAAACCCGAACCGTAGATCTCTTCCCTTCTTGCTCGCCAACCCAAAACCAACCCAACACAAACCTCCATCTCCCATCTCCCTCTCTCCACCTTTTTCCTCATCTCACGACCATCGCCAAACACACTCATAATCTCTCCCACCTCCCCCTTCTAGAGAATTTTTTTTTTTTTCCATTCTTCCTTTCCTCTCCTTGCGGTTGCTTGAGAGGGCTTCTTGGAAATTAGACTAGATGTCCTCCCTCCTCCATCCCCACCACGAGCAGAGCGAGCTTAACCCGTCGGTAACTTCTCCACACAGCATGTACTTGTACGACCTATGCAGCACGTCTGCAAGGGCCCCCCCCTCCAGGAAAAATTGAAAATTGAAACAAGTAATTTCGCACTGGGGTCCCCGCTTTTTTTCTTCTTTTCTTTATTTTCTTGCTCTCCCATTATTCCGTCTGCTTGACTTTAGCTCTTGATCGATGTACTTGTAAATTGGTAGTTTAGTCTACGAGTACACTTGTAGTGAAGGCGTAATTGGTGAAGCTTCAAGTATCATAAGGCAGAGTCTCTTGTGGCGGGAGGTTAGGAGTATCATACAAGTAAATTGCTACCGTATGATAACCTTTTGTTACTCGAGCAGGATACCGATAGGTTAGTATCATATCATACCAGTTTTGTGTGCCCTCCGGCGAGTACCGGTGTCATAGGGTTAGCCTAGTCCCCAGCACAAATCCAACCAGCGGCGAATTACCGTACTGCACAGCAACCGCAACCAATGGTATGTGCTGTACCCAACTATCCGTACTCTCCTGCACGGTGAGGACGAGGTTCGGCCCTCTGGTAGCCGACTTCCACAGTACGATACCGGTATGATATCAGCAAGTAGCCTTGTCACACTTGCCACGAGAAAAATTAGACTTTGAGGATTTGAAGAGCTCCTCCGTGTGCTAGTGGCCCACACTAACAGTCGCGCGGACACAAGCACAAGTATCATGATGAAAGGGAGAAGGGGGAAGAAAGAAAAAAAAAAAAAAAAAAAAAAAAGAGTTTTGTGAGCGAGCGCAGCTTGAACGAATTAACACGATACGATATTCTACGGCGCGCGCTATAGCCGCCGTCTCGGTTGAATAGAATAGAATGGTGCACAGTACGGTATCATATTTCATGTCGCTGCTATCATACCACCAACGAAGCAGAAGTACCGGTATGATACCAGTGCCCCAGTACGAGCACAGCACGATAGAATAGCCATACCATGCCCAACCGTGCCCATCGAATGCGGCGGGTGAATCCAAGGGTGAAAGCGAACGAGCGATTGACTGATCGACCAAACTCACAAACTGAGAGAAGATCAATTGATCGTGAGGCAATTTATTTTCTTTCCCCCCCATTCTGAGCGAGTGAATGTGAGTGAAGGGGAAGGTGAGGAGAATGGAGTGAATGAGAATGGAGAATCTGTCAGCGTCATTTTAGTCATCATACGGGCAATCTTACGAACGAACAAGGGAAGGAGGGAGGGGGACAGCGAGAGCGCGGACTGAAGTGTTAAGGACCGGTGGAATATCGGTGGACGATCAGTACGGTATCGTACAGAATCATGGCGAAAAGCGACTTCTTTGCGGGGCTCTCGGTTGGTAGACCGGATGTTTTTTCCTGTTGCCACTTTGTGGGTTCTTTCCTTCCCCCCATCTCCGTCATACTTGCCTCCATCATACTTGCGCGATATCGTGCCCTTTCACGTGATTGGTCCACTGATCAATTTCTGCGCCTGGGTGCGTGACATCAACTCGACTGCGTGAGCGGGGGTACTCGTACAGCTAGGGAATATCGTGTGATGCTTTCCCCATCGAGGGAACATTCACTACTTGATACCAAAGCTGGAGGCCAGGACAGATCTTATATCCACGAGTAACCCAGTGATAGACTATAAGTTAGTCTACTAAACCCGAACATGTCCCCGCCCGCATGCCAATCAACTGGGCTTAAGCAGGGCTGCACGAGTATGATACGAATTTTTTTCATTTTCGTTTTCAATTAGCTTTTAGTCCTGGCTAGGAGGCTCTAACAATTTAAAACTGGTTTAAAACTTTGGCTTCTGAGACCAAAATCCATTTTGGGGGCGTTTACTCTTTTACACACTCTCCTGCATCGACTCATTTCTCCGAGTCAAGAGAGAGTTGGCTCTTTGCCCTTTTGGTGGGACTGTATCGGCTATTCCAAAAAGGACGCCCGTTCTTGGCGCGGAGACAACGAGTACGCTGCTGTATTTATCGGCTCGGATCTATGACGAAAGAATTTCCGTTTCCGTTTTCCGAGCGATGTCGGTCGCGACAACCCCGCATTGCCAAGACTGTTTTTCCGTCGCAGATTTGACTCGGCGGATTTAGATAGCTAATCGGGGTTGGGATTGTTTCTGAATAGAGGAAAGATGGGCAATTAAGAGGGATCAGGAGCAAGGGGTCCAATACGAGAATGAAAGAGGGAGGGAGGAAGAAGAAAAAAATTGACTTTTTACTCTAGTCCATCTGCCTGTCTGGTTCCGTCGGTGCTCCACGAGTATCGTACCGGTATCCATCCATCCATCCATCCACGGTGGCCACGATACTCTAACAAACTCAGAACTGCCGAGTAAAACCATCGTCATTGTTCGCCGCAACGGTTATCGTGAGGAAAAAGCAAAGGGGAGAAATGCTTCGATTCCCTGCAGACCAGAGGGAACTGACTGGATTGAGGGTCCAGCTATGGAAAGGCAAATAAAATAGCGCCGTACTGAATTGAGGGAAGGGGATAGGGAGAAAGAAGAAGAAAAAAAGTAATAACCTGCTGCTGGGCTTTACCTCTTCGACTCCTTTTCTTTTCCCGGGGAAAAAATAAAGGGGAATAAAGTTCGTCTCCGCTTGTGATCAATTTCCATCTCCGCCACTGACATTGATACTACTCGTAAAGGGCTTTTTATGACGGGGGTTTTTTTCCTCCGTATCTGGTTGGCTGGGTCTGCGCCAGGAAAGGTGTAGGAAAAAAAAGTCCCAACTTCATCTGAAAAGAAAGTCTGCGAAAGTTCGTTATGGTGAAGGCCAGCGGAGAGGGTTATGGGTGATTGTATCTATTTTTTGCGGCAGCTGAAGGGGAAAGGGATGGACGATTGCGTGCCGTAAAAGGAATTTGGACAATTTTGGTCCTCTTGGGAAATCTGTTTCGTTTTGGCTGCTCGTCTGCTCCGCTTGGGAACTTTTTTGGCTTGTGTGTTTGTCACCCCACCACCTCACTCCCTCCCCCTCCATCGCGATCTGCACGATTGTCTGCCCGACCAATCGTTGACAGGAAGGATTAACCCGTAAAGGATTAGTTCGCTTCCAGCGAACTTATTTCGCGCAGAGGTTGTCTTTGAAGGCCCCCTAGTCGGTCCGCGAACCGCCTGACTGATTGGTGCGTGTGTTGACTCGTCTGTGGGTGTTTAATTTTTAGGACAAAGTGCAGTTTAGAAAGAGAGGGAGAGCGAGAGGATGAGGATAACTGGGATAACCTGTGCATTTGCAGGCCAGTCAATTCAGAGAGAATCGTATACAGTACACTTACCCGTGGTGTAACAAGGGAGAGAGGTCGAGGTGTGGCCGGCTGTGAATTTATTTGGGAATCTCGCCCCAGCTTTCATTCAACCTCAAAACTGTGCAGCTACTGTATTGGGTGCAAAAAAATAAAAAAAAATATGGAATGGAAAAAAGGAAATAAAGAAAGTCCAGTTGGGCAAGTCAACACCGAAGGGTAGCATCTCACGATAATTATCCTTTGCTGTAGATTTGAGGGCGATTTCTAGCCTTGACGCGGGTAGTTGACGCTTGAGAATTTGCTCCCTCATACAGTTGTCACCCTTTTGGTGGAGAGATATCGCAATCGCACCACACACACATACACACTTGGGGGGAGAGAAACCACTCGCACACCTTCTATTCTCCTGTGGAAATACAAGTAAAAATTTAATCATAAATAAGAGTTGCACCCAGTTGGACAGGATAGGATATACACGTACGGCACATTTCTCATCACCCTCTCCGGGCTATCTGTCGTTTCTCTCTTCACCACATCGTCGTCATTCTTACCTGCTTCCTTCTGTCCCTTTTGGCCCAGACTGCTCTTCCCCACTTTCTCTCACTCGGAGTCCTCAGTCTTTTGCAGTACTCAGTGCTGGTATTTTGAACTAAAATCGTTCTTTGGGCTCCGGCTTAGCTGCACCACTGCAGGGCCTTTTCTTCTTCATTGGTACTGTACCTGGCCTAGAAAGTTCGTGCGAACATTTCCCTTTTGTTTAGGTTTTCGACTACCGTATTATCTTCTCCCCCTTATCGTTACCGAGGGGAAAGAATTTCGCCACTTACACACCGACTTTTCTTTTCGAAAACGAGAATATCGTGTGCTTCGCTTTACCTTTAATCTGCCGTACTCGAGTACTTGCCCGCAACCATAGACCCGGGGCGGTTTGAGGAAAGATATTTTCCACTTTTATTTCAATTAATTAATTTTATCATAACAGAAGGATCCTCTAAAGTGGGTGGGGCTAGAATCGACCCTGACCCGTGAAAGAGAAGGGGGGGCACATAGGCGCGCGAACCCAAGGACGAGGGACGAGGACTGTCCAGAGCGGACGGGGACTGGTCTCATCCATCCATCATCATCATCGCCCACCACACAGCAGCAAGCAGCAAGCAACAGCGGCAGCAGCGGCGGCGTCCATCCATTTCCCACTTTGCCTTTTGCTGCCTCGCTAGTTCTGTCAGTCTTCGGCATTCCCAAGCCCAACACCAACGCGTTTTGGAGTGTGGAAGGAAAAAGGAAAAAAGGGCAAAAAAGAAAAGGGAGGAAAAGCAAAGAAAGAGAGAGAGAGAAAAAGGAAAAAAAGGTTGAAAGCAGCGCCTCCTCCCCTGCCATACCGTCCCACAGTTTCTCTACTTGCTACCGCCGAGAGGGAACAAGTTCGGTCCAGTACTGGTAACTCAACCCACCATCCCCCCTTCTCGCTTCTACAGCTCAAGAAAGCATCGTGACTTTGTCTCACCCACAACAAATCCCCCCCAGTTCCACCGCCTCTCATTTCTCCCCTTTTTCTTCTTTTCCACTCTACCGAAGGGAGCAGCGAACGCTTGATGCTCCTGCTTCCTCCTGCTACACATCCCAGACTGAGCTGCCCACATCTCATTACCCCCCAGCAACCCGGCCGGAGGAGACTGGAGCCAGAACGTAGCAAGAGCGCCGGTTGTCCCAAGTCGCTCCTTTAGCCGTCCGCCATTTGCCTCTGCCAGCCAGCTTTTTCCGTCTGCCACCACCGTGCCCAATCCCCCCCCGTCGCGCCTTTCAAAACTACGCCCACCCCCCCCCCCAAAGAAAAAAACCCTATCCTTTCAAATTACCTGATCATACAATACCGATACATTACATTACATTACGACTACGACTCGTTCCCCCATTCCTACTTCCCATTTTATTTCACTTTCCCATTAACTAATCCTCCTCCTCCTCGCTTATTACAACCTGGATTCGTCTCAACTCATTCTTCGCCCTCATCAACACCACCACTCTCCGGGAACCAGAATGCCATTGAGACGGCGTGTAAAACCATGAGGTCCCTCAGCCAAAACCGCTCTTTCGGAAATAACCATTCTTCCCGTTCACATATACCTAATCACAATCATCATTGCTCCCAATCGTTAGCATCTCCTGCTGCTACTCCCCCTCAATTACATCCCCCTCCTACTTCTGCGGTTGCTACGTTGAGGGATTGGCGGGAGGAAAACCCCTGTGCTCACGGTGCAATGGAGTGCCATAACAATCATTTGGTTGGGCACTCGTCGAACAATACTTCCACTACTACCTCTAGACACGCATCGACAACTTCAATGTTTTCTCTTGCAAACCTTCACCAGCCTCATAGCCGTAATCCCACTCCGCCGACCCCTATGTCATCCCCTGGTTTGTACAGTCCTCCACATATTTCACCTTCCGACAGGACCGTCATGGGCCCCCATCTCCACCCTAGCCAGTATCGCCAACCGGAACATAATACTTCGGTTAGGGAAACACATTTACTTGATCTTGACTTTGACCCAATTTCCGGCAGGAAGATCATAAACCACTATTCTATTATCGACGAGATCGGACGAGGCGTTCACGGCAAAGTGAAGCTCGGGACCGACCTTGACACGGGCGAGTTGGTGGCCATCAAGATTGTGGAGAGATCACAGGATCGCCCTAGACTGGGTCGCCGCGGTGATGGTGAATCGGAGAAGAAAGTCCGTCGGGAAATCGCTATCCTCAAAAAATGTTGTCACGAGAACGTGGTCCGGTTACTCGAGGTTATCGACGATCCTCAAAGTAAGAAGGTTTATTTGATCTTGGAATATGTTCAACTGGGTGAGATTATTTGGAGAAAACCTGGTGATCCTGATGTTTTGCGGCGGGAACGTCGCCGTCTGCGCCGTGAGTTTGAGTCCGGATTTGCCGTAGAGAAAGCTGTGACCAAGGGTGGCGAGGGCGAGGGTGCGGATACAAGGAGGCGGAGACGTCGACCTCGCAGGAGAAGAAATAATGGCCAATTTTGGTCCCTGGAATTTGCTTCCGCTTATGATTCTGAGCCAGAGCAGAGTGCTCCCCATCCTCCACTACCGAGACTCCCGCCCACGACCTCTGCTGACCTACCTCCCCTTGGCTCTGACACCGAGCAGCTCCCGCCCTCTCAGACTCTTGATTACTCATCTGATAGTTCCACCGGTAGCTGGTCGAGCGAAGGCGTTAGCTATGTTCCTTCTCTCACGATTGAACAAGCACGTTGCACGTTCCGTGATACAGTTCTCGGTTTGGAGTACTTGCACTACCACGGCATCATTCATCGTGATATCAAACCCGCGAACTTGCTGTGGACTCAGGACCGCAGGGTCAAGATATCTGATTTTGGAGTGAGCTTTCTTGGGAGACCGATTAGGGATTATGAGGATGGTTGTGATGGCGAGGAGGCTACTGGGCTTGAGCAGAACGAGTTGGAATTAGCCAAAACAGCTGGCACTCCAGCGTTTTTTGCACCCGAGCTTTGTCATGTCGGTGAGTCAACATTATATACTCCCATATGCTCCTATTTCATATCATTTCGCGTATTTCGTATATCTTACTTTTAATCTGTATACATCTGACGTTTTTATCCCACGTAGATCACAACCAGCCACGACCTCAAATCACTAGTGCAATTGATGTCTGGGCTCTCGGTGTCACGCTTTACTGCCTTGTCTTCGCTCGCTGCCCCTTCATGGCAGACAACGAATACCAGCTTCTTAGAGTCATTGCGAAGGACGAGCTCGTGATTCCTAACCGTCGAGTTCGCCCCGTCAAAGCCGTCAATTCTTCTAGGCCGGTTAGTGCTCCCCCGACGGCTGAAGAGCTGCTCGAAATGGAGACGGAGCCGATTGACGTTGATCTCAAAGACTTGCTCAAACGGCTCCTTACAAAAGACCCAACCAGAAGGATAACTTTGAGAGAGGTTAAGCGACATCCGTGGGTTCTCCACGGCATCGCTGATCCTTGTGCCTGGGTTGACGAAACGGATCCGGAGAGAATGTCTGACGGCAACAGGATCGAGGTTACCGTGGAAGACGTGGAGAAGGCTGTTTCTAGTGCTGGTGTGTTGAACCGGGCTAGAAGCGCTGTCAAGAGAGCTGTCGAATGGGGGAGGGGGCTGCGTAGGAGAGCTAGCAGCACTGCAAATGTGATTTCGACGAAGGATATGAAGATCTTGGCTGAGAAGGAAAGGGAAGTTACAGCAACTAGATGTTGCCCAAGTGCGCATTTGGGTGATGATGACGGGGAACTGCGCTGGATGGGGAGCAATCCTCAGTGGAGGGACGAGGATAAGTCCCTGCTTTCTGCGTGCTCGGCGGCCAACAATACAGCCTCTTCCGATCCCGTACGGGATGGGGGCGGCTACTGCGGTTCCAACGGCGAATCATTGGATCCCAACTCACCCCGTCGGTCAGATTCTGAATCTCAAAGATTGCAGAGAAAGTGTTCATCCTCTCTCTGCGCTCCATCGCGACGCCATGCTATTGCTGGTAACGAACCCAGTGGAACCAATGCGGGTTTCCATCGGACGCATGGAAATCTCTCCCAGGGTGGACCAACCGAGAATCCTCACATTTCCCGGTCGGACACCTCTTTGAGGGCACCGAGTTACGGTCATCACGCAGGCAGCTTGATTGGAAATGGGGTAAGACGAGTGGTTCGCAGTATGAGAAGTGGAGGGTTTCATGATAATGGGGACAAAGTGAAAGGATCGGTGAGTCGGGAGTGCAGCCCATTGAGAGTGCGGGATCCACTCGCAGGTGCACTGCGTGGTGATCACTCTTTCTATGCCTATGGAACTGGCTCGCTGCATGTTCAGATTCCTAATGGTCGGAGGCATAGTTATGCTGGAATCGACGTTGACGGATCGGTGATTGACAACAACCGGCTTTCCGCCATCGATTGCAAACCCCGATGGGATAGAGAGATTAGTAAAAAATTCGCTTCGTTCACTATGAAAGATAAATCATGCCCTACGAGCCCCGACGATGAGGTGTCCATGGAAAAAATTTGGGAAAGGGATCAGCAAAAGGCGTTTTTGCGACATGAGGAGCGTAACAAGTATACCTCCCCCGGAGCGTCTAATGCGGATGTCACCCCTGGTTGGACGAAAGAGAGCTACTACCACCCTTCTCATGAGTCGCCCACGCCTCCGATTATGATGGAACGAAGGCATCGTGGTTTCTTTGATGACCATATCCAAATGCCCATGAATTCTGGCCAACAAAGCCACCTCGTTTCTTCGTCTAGCGAGGAACAGTTCGCTACAACTGCCGGCTCAAGTCTCACCAATTCTACAAGTTTCCCGTCCGTGCCAAGCATAGTGTCGGAAAATAGCTCTATTAGCAGTGAATTCTTCAACAGCCGTTACTCTCGGAAGAACTCCATTGCCGGGGTTGTGCACGAAGAAGAGTTCGACATGAATTATCGCCCGCCTACACCTTTCCATCAGAGCAGGCTTTCGGATATCAGACAGATCGACTCCGATAACGAGCATGAGATGGATGACGATCCTGACGATGATGACGACAGCGATGGGGGTTTCATAATGGAAGTCCCACCCCCCAAGAAGAGTGTGCGAAGTGAGAGCATTGCTGTCGACAAGCTCGCCAGGAGGCCTCTTGACCCTATCGAACCTGTGCCGCGCACAAGAAGGCGAAGCAGAAGCAGCAGCGCAGCCCTCAAAAACAAGAAGGCCCGTCGAGGCAGAACCAAGGAGAAGGTTGTGACCGGAGATTAGCGTGTTTCTTATCTTCTGCTACTTGTCACAAGAATTTTACCCCACCGAAAGGGATTCATGGGCCGATTTTCTCGGATTGCGGTAACATTTTCTACATTTTGCTTTCCTTTCCTTTCTGTCCCCTGATGTTTTCTTTCCGCTTTGCATAGGGATTTTTGCTGTTTCTCTCCCCATTACCTCCACATTTCGTTTATCATTCCCAGTACCCCGTTTTTTTCCCCGGACCTCATTCCTACTTGGAGCATATCTCTTTCGCTGTAAGTATTAATCCTCTTTGTAATATTTTCTTATATCTCTGGGGGCTGGCTTTACACCCGTGTTAATTCTCGGGTTGAAAAGTTTCTTTTTCTTATTTTATTTCTTACTCTCTTTCCCATTTCCCTACTCCTTATGTTTCCCGGTTCCTTTTTTTTTTTTTTTTTTTACGCTTTGGGATTTGCTATAGATGGATGCTCTCGGTGTTTGACTTTTTACGCTTACGAGTGAATGGATTTTGTCGATTACTTAGGGACTTTGGTTTGGCTGGCTGGTTTAGTTTGGTCTGGATTCTGGGCAACAGGTCAATTGGTTTGTCGGTGGATAATCGGTCGGTAGTTCAGTGTTTGCTTAATGGGTGGGACCTGCAGTAGGTGGTGGGAAAGAATGAGTGAATGAAGATGGAAGATGGAGGAAGGAAGGGTTCCCCCAAACGAGCTTGGTATCGGATTAGGTCTATAGATGTACAGCCAATCTAACCTTTACAAGTATGATAATAATATGGTACTCGTACCGACCGTGCATATGAGGACCACCTCTGTTCTGTTCTGTTCTGTTCTGTCTAGTGCGTTTTGTTTCCCTCCGGGGCGGACTGCTGGATGCGGTCGGTCTGGATGAGACGAGCTGTGTAGCGCAGGGTGCACTACAGTGCCGGTACAGTACTCGAGCACTCATAAGGCTGCATTTCACGGTAATTTTTTTTCTTTTTCTCCCTCTGCAAGAGAAGACTCCCCCTCTGGAAGATTCCGAAGTGCATGTCTGAGCCACGCACTGGGTTATTTTAGCTTAGCTACCGTAGCCAGCCTCATCTTCATGATGGTGGATGAATGAATGTATGGTGATGAGGTGCCGAAGAAGGATACAGCAATCTGACTTACAGTATGATACCGTATGCCATGCCACGCCATGCCAGTGAACTGTGCTCGAGAAATCTGGTTTAACCCGCCCATGCACGTAGACTATAATACCTACCATCAGGTACCAGATCACTTCACTTCACTGTATCATAGCATTCCACAGCCAAACTCGGCCAGAGTATACAGTATCGTACACGGCGGCATCCGATCCGACACAATACCAGTACTTTGTATCCTCCCATACGGGCATGATACCGCCCGCCTCATCGCGATACAGAAGTCGGCCGTTAAGTTACATCAACCACCCAATCCATCCACCCCAGCAGAGCGCAGCTAACAAGTTTACGATACATAGCAACATAACCGTAGGGCTGCCGAACCCCTTCCCTCACTTCCACTCACTGCCGGTATATACCGTCCTCAACCTACCAACCAAAAGCGCAAAATACAGTACCGGTACCATCACCGCTTCTTTATCAGCCCCATGCCTCACTGAAGAAACAAACAAGCCAATCTGAGGCAGGCAGGCAGGCAGGCAGGAAGGCAGTTTCAGCTTCGCTTCGGACGGCGTTTGTATATTTCATTCATTTACCGTGTGCTTTTTTTTTTTTTTTTTGTTCCGCATGAGCGAGCGGAGTATTGCTTACGGTAATCATATTCCAAGGTTGCGTTGAAAATGAAAATCACTCAGGCTGGATGGGGCGGGAGCAAGGGAGGGAGGGAGGGAAGGAACCGGGGGGTTGGGTTGCGGTTGTTATCGGGTTAGGATGAATTGATGAGTGAGTGAGTGAGTGAGTGAGTGAGTGGATGGGAAGTGGTAAGCTTATCACACAACCCGTTCCGTTTTGTTTTGTTTTGTTTTGTTTTGCGGTTGGTGTGTGTTGTTGGTATTATCTACTTACTTTGCTATCATATCAGGGATTTGTGGCTGGATGGGTAAGGAAGGAGGAGGAGGGTACTGTACTCGAGTAGTGTGGTAGCTGGGGATAACCTGGTCTGATGATACCGGTATTGGCATCTCTATCATCTGTTCTTGCTGTATCAGACTTGTCCAACCGCATCACACACACACCCATCCGCTATGATACAGTGTGGACCCCCCAGCTTGATCATTACAAATCACTCGCGTCCCGCCCTACGGTACCGGTGTGCCCCTGGACACACACACGATGCTGCCATCAATATTTTACCGTATGCCGTGTCGCAGGCGCGCTTATTGATTACCGCGTTGCGCAAGATACCGCGTATCGCGTTTAGCGGGGTTACTTATTGATTTGATGGGGGGGGGGTGCCGTGCGGGTGCAGTTTTGTTCTGGAAGACTTTCCGTTTTTATTTTTCCTTCTTTTTTATTTCATTTTATTTCATTTTATTTATTTATTTATGGTTTCACGTTGCGACAGACTATGGTAAGTTGAACAGGACATGCGTGATTGGGAGTAGGACAATGATACAGTACATTCCTTGGATCTCATGTCTGCCTACCGTACCCTTCTGACCGGATAGCGTGGCAATCAATGTGAGTCGGGGAAATCCCAGAATACGAGGGAATACTACGTGAAGGATAGTGGGGCTTTGTGCATTTTTTCTTTCCAACCTATTATCTAGTTATACTCGTACTCGCAGAGGCTGAACATTCGTTGTTGTTGTTTTTTTCTTTTTTTTTTTCTTTTCCTCCTTTCTGTATACCGGGTGAGGGGATTATGATGCCCTACTAGGAGCATTATCTTATAATTAGGCACTGGTCTCCGAGTGTCGGATTGATATTACCGTATGGCGGCTTATGTGTGTGAGTCGATCCGATTACCCCCTTACATTATCGTCCCTGCTGTTGTTCCCGCGACCCATCTCTTTAAGTTCTGACAGGTGTCGATCGGTAACTTAACGCTTCGACCTCGGGGCATACTTGGCAGCCCACAGCGATGTGTTGGGAATTACAGTAGCTAACTAGCCTTGTTAGCATTGCCGGGTTGTTACTCGGGTATGCATCGGTATGCATCGTGCTTACTAGATTTCGGTGTGTTGTGTGCTCGAGTATGTCCCGACCGGACGGGGTGGATCAAGCTTGCCTAGGATATAGTATGACTGTGGTGGTGTATGGGTGATCATGCTTATCGTGGGTCTTTGAGGTCGGCCTGGATTGACATGCTGTCGGTGGATTGATAGTGAATATTGAAGGAGCGCTAGTACACGTTGTACGATATGATAACTGGTATGGTAGGGGGGTTTAGAGAGAGGAGGAGAAGAAGAGTTGAATAGGGTAAAGGGGGAGTTTTGAAACACCGAGGTCTGCAGGGCTGCTGGTGGAAATATGAGCTGGGGCCATTTGCCCCGTGTGGATGGAAGAATTGTTCCTTTCTGCTCACTTGTTGCCCTCTGCTGTACGCCACTGCAACACGATATATCATATCATAGTTACAGTGCTCCCACAAACTCGCGGCGCAAAACCCGCCTTTCCCCCTTGGAGTTGCTTCCCTGAGCAGCTACCGTAGGCTTCCCAGATGAGAGGAAGAGCCCTTCGGAGCGGCGTGGCGGGGCTATTGGTTTGCCCCGGAAGTTGGCTTTCTACCCGCTCCAAGACTTTGGAATACCGGTGATGGTGAGGTTGGGTGGCCTCATTTAATCGGGCCCTGAATTGTGGGCGGTTTATCCTGTTCCGATTGAGCATCAAATTGACATCAGCAGGGATCCCATAGATACGAATGATCGCTTGTGAATCTCGCTAAAGCATGATTATGGATCACCAAGGAACGCTGCGCTAACGTGGTTGCGAGGTAAGGGCGACAACCTCGGTTCATTCGGCAAAACCCTGGATTCTCGAGGTCTGGAGCTTGCATAAATTACCCGGTAGCTCTCCGCACTCCATAAATATAGTACCCAAGCGGGGTGTTTACGATACAGTGCACAGCAGGCCACCACCGGTAAATTGGCCGTTTCGGGGGGCCGGTGAGGGCAAGCTCGGCCTTCCGCGGCTAAGTTGCCGTAGATTAGAGGCTGTGGCATATACATAGCACTCCCCACTACGATAATATTATGGTGGTATGCATACACAAAGTTTTGCCATCTCTCTGGGTTACTCGTAGCCTTCCCTAACCCTCCTCATCACCATCACGATCGGTATCGTATGATACCATATAACATCACATCGACACACAAAGCAAGGAAAAAATGACCTCTTCAGGATCCCCGGTTTACGTCCTTGGTGTGGGCATGACCAAGTTCATCAAGCCCCGCGGCCAGGTAGACTACCCAGAAATGGGCTATGAAGCCGGCATCAAAGCCCTCGCGGACGCGGGTGTGAACTATGACGATGTGGACACGGGGATCGCCTGCTATGCCTACGGAGATTCTACGAGCGGGCAGCGCGTATTCTACCAATTCGGCATGACGGGGATACCGGTCTACAACGTGAACAACAACTGCTCGACCGGGGCCACGGGACTGCATATGGCGCGCAGATTCCTCGCGCACGGGGCCGGGAACGTGGCGCTGGTCGTGGGCTTCGAGAAGATGCTTCCCGGGAGCCTGCAGTCCTTCTTCTCCGACCGCACGAATCCGCTCGACAAGAGCTATGTTATGATGGCGAATACCAGGGGCGTGGATCCTAAGCGGCCGGGAGCGGTGCAGTTTTTTGGGAATGCCGGGAGGGAGTATATGGAGAGGTTTGGCGCTACAAAGGAGGACTTTGCCGAGATTGCTAGGGTGAATCATGAGCATTCTCGGAGGAACCCGTACTCGCAGTTCAGGGATGTGTATACGCTTGAACAGATTATGGGGAGCCCAGAGATTTGGGACCCGTTGACGAAGCTGCAGTGTTGTCCTACGAGTGATGGGGCTGCGGCCGCGGTGCTGGTTGGGGAGAAGTGGCTGCAGGAGCATCCGGAGTTGAGGGAGAGGGCGGTACTTATCGCTGGGCAGGCTATGGCTACGTATATTTCCTCCACCATGCCTACGATGTCCTAAAGTATATCCAGATATTGACCTAAATAGTGACTCTCCCGATTTATACTCCAAGAGCGCCATCGATCTAATTGGCTTCGCAATGACCAAGTCTGCAGCAGAGCAAGCCCTCTCGGAAGCAAACCTTGCCCCCAACGCTATCAAACTCGTAGAACTCCACGATTGCTTCTCCACGAACGAGCTAATTACCCTCGACGCGCTATCCCTCTGCCCACCTGGCAAGGCCCATGAAATGGTCCGCAACGGCGACATCACATACGGCGGGCGGGTCGTTGTAAACCCCTCTGGTGGCCTGATATCCAAAGGCCACCCACTGGGTGCTACAGGGTTGGCTCAATGCGCAGAACTCGTCTGGCAGCTGCGTGGATGGGCTGCGGAACGCACTGTAGAGGGTGTAGGTGCGGCGTTGCAACATAATCTCGGCCTTGGTGGGGCAGCAGTGGTGACGGTGTATAAAAGGGCGGATGGGAGCAAGAATAGGAGGTTGAGTGATAATGAATTGGAGAGAGTAACGGGGATTTCGGGAAGAGGGTATAATCCTGCTGTTGAGGCGAGGGCGGTGACCCAAAGTGAGATTGAGGTTGGCAGGAGTAGGCGGGCTGCTAGCGGGTGGATGGGTGGTGGGGTAGTTGGAGAGACGAGGTTGTAAGTGGGCGTTTGGGTTGGGATGATAGGATGTTCTGTGTTCGAGGGGGTTTCGCTCTCCTGGTGATTTATGGGTTTGCAGTAGTTCGTCCTGGCTGGGAAACTTGCTTCATGAATATTGACTCGCAGGGTGCCTGTGCGAGATGCTGCACACGCCCGCGAACAACCATACGGGTATCATACAGTGCCTGGTACAAGTGAAAAGGCTACGATACAATTATGTGCAATTCCGTGTTCCCCCTGGCCGTCTAGTGACAGTGGATTCTGAACCCCAATTCCCGATGATAGAAGCCCTCGGATTGTCCCCCATAACAGGTTTTCTATGATCAGCACAATCCCAGATGCGTAATGTCGAGGATCCCGTGAGTTACTGGGACAGGAACCCCCCCCTCTCTCTGAAATCGAGCCCTCACGAAAGGTTCAGGCTTATCATAATGGATTCAACTCAACACCTGTCTTGGCAGTATCTTACAAATTGATTGATGACGCAAGTTTAAGTCTGGGCTCAATTGAAAGGTTCACATAATTCCCAGGCATGGTGTGCATTTGCATTCACCAGCAAAGTTGACCGAATACCATCTAGTTGTTAGTGGCAGAGTGGGAGAAGATGAAAAATATATTCAGGTCCAGAGTTGTTGGCTTTTCTATGAGCATATGTGGGCGCGATGGAGTTCTGGTTGCTTCTGTGATTACGAGTACAGTGCTGTATGTATGGTAACAAGGTTTGATTGCTTGCCCCCCCCCCCCTCGAGCCTAGATAAAAATACCCCTCTTCTGCCCCACCAAGCACTTCTTTCTTCTTTCCTTTCTTCCCTCCGCTTTTCCTTTCCCAAACACGCTGTACACCGCATTAGCACTCTACCCCCAAAAGAAAAAAAGTCAAACAACCTCACTTCGATCAAAATGGTTAAGGCTGGTGAGTGCTCTTTAAGACTGTTTGACCGGCTCTTGCTATTTTTGAGGTTATTCGCTCTTCTCGGCGCCAGTTTTCGGGACGCTTTCGTCCTTTGAAATCCCTTTCGTTTATACTTAGACTCCACCGCTATTTCGTTCCCATAAAGCAATGTTTGCTAATCTAATATAGTCGCTGTCGTCCGTGGAGACTCTAACGTCTCGGGAACCGTTACTTTCTCCCAGGAGAACGAATCCTCTCCCACCACCATCTCCTACAACATCACTGGCAACGACCCTAATGCCCAGCGTGGCATGCACATCCACGAGTTCGGTGACAACACCAATGGGTGTACTTCTGCGGGTGCTCATTTCAACCCCTTTGGCAAGTCCCATGGTGCTCCCTCTGATGAGGAGAGGCACGTCGGGGACTTGGGCAACATCCAGACCGATGCTCAAGGCAATGCTGAGGGAAGTGTGGAGGACAGTCTCATCAAATTGATTGGCCCCGAGAGCATTCTAGGAGTATGTTTGCCCCTTGTCTGGGGAGGGGCGTAAATGAAAATAGAGAGAAGCTAACGGATGATTCTAGCGCACCATCGTTGTCCACGGTGGTACTGATGATCTCGGTAAGGGTGATAATGTTGAATCCAAGAAGACCGGAAATGCTGGTCCTCGCCCAGCTTGTGGTATGTCTCCTGCCCTTTTGTTTGATTTAAATCTGTCTATTGCTGATGGCTTGTGTCCTTTAGGTGTTATCGGAATCTCTGCTTAAGTTACAACAGAGAGAGAGAAAAAAGTTGGTTGAGCGGGTTGGAGCTTGATGTTAGTTGAGCCGCCTCAGGCACTAGTTAGGGCTTTGACTTTTTAATGAAATATCTTTAACCTCATCGAAACTGCAAGTTCATTGCGCGGTGTTGCCTTAATTTACCATGGGGTTTATTGAGATTGCCTATGGTGCATAGCGCTGGCCCACTGCCCCTATGTTATCGGCGTAATTTGTGATGGTTGGTTTGGCGGAGTTCTTTGGCACACGGCTGAGTACCGGTACCGGTACCGGGTTCGTTCACTCCTTTGCGCACTAACATGACTAATTAGATTATGAGATGAGATCTCATCGGAGGAAGATGCATGCATCATAACTCGAATCCCGAGTATCTGTATCAGACAGGTCTGTCCCCCACCCACGAGGTTACACACATAGTCTACACAAATCCCTTGTGCGTGGGCAACAATGGTCTACTAGTACCGCTACTCGTATGATAGATATCCCACCAAAATTCGTGACATGCTACTTGTACCCTAGCTTGATAATAGCTAAGGGCTAAATCTATTTGACGCACCGTCATGACTGTAGAGCTGTCCGTCATCTCGCATCACGTTTACGAAAACGTGGTTTACCAGAAACCAGAAAATGTTTTCTTTCTTTTTTTTCTTGCAAGTAATCCTTTGCCAAGTTTTTTAATATGTTACATGGCCAATGTGCTGTTGTATATATCTTATAAGTTTCGTTGAGTTTGTTTATTCCGAATTGATTGATAGTATCTTATTGTGTGTATTTTGTATTCATGGACTCTTTCAAGGCTAGGGTATACAATACAAGTAATAACTTTACCTCGGTTTCTTCTAATTACTGATTTGAGAGATTGACAAAATTCAGGTCCTATTCTTATGATGCTCAAGTTTTACCTCGATCTCTGGGAATTTCTACAATATTTAAATAGTAAAGGTCTTCAATGCTACAACCTTGGTGCAAAAAAAATCTAGAATGTCACAATACCTTGCACTAGTACTATGAATAAAAGGTTTCTATTCGGAGGCCACTTACAGAGGTACAGCATATAAGTTTTGTAGATTTTACTAGCAGGGATGTACTGCAGGCTGGAATAAGTGCAGCAAATCCGGTATGGTGGCTTGGCTGCTTGTGTGAGTGAAGATTTTTCACAACTCCCTCTATTCAAGCAAACACTGAGCAAACACAGAGAAAATCCTTGGGGGCAGAGACATTTATTGGCAAGTTCACCGCGAGGGGCCTTAACTATATACAAACGAAGAGACATGTCTGAGCCGGCGACCCCTCCACCCCCCCACCTCCGAAATGGTTCCATTTGTCCCGCGATCAGGGTCGAAATTGTCAACTACTGCATACTATTGGCTGAGAATATGCTCAAATCCAGGAACACACTGGGTTCTCTCTTCACCAAATTGGCTATGCATGCTCTTCTAATAATGCATGCCCGGCGACTCCTAAAAAGTGTTCAGGTCGGCCTCTGGTGCTTACTGAAGCACAGGTTGAGGATCTTGTTGCCTACGTTTGCCTGTCAGCAAGGAACAGATGTCTTTCTTACGAGCAGCTAGTAGTGAAGCTAGATTTTGGAGTTGGGAGAACTGCTATTCGAGTAGCATTGATGAGGGAAGGTTTCTACTGACACCTTGCGATGTGAAAACCACTGATCACAGAACGAAACCGTATTATAAGACTCCAATGGGCTAAGGAGCATGTGGGCTGGTGTCACAAACATGGCTTGGCATGAAAGAGGTTTTCACGTGATGCATGATTATGAGTCACAGGTATGTTATTGTTTTACACATATGACTCATTTGAGTCATATGATTTGTTATGTGTGGGATTTGTGATGCTTTCGCACATGGTTCAAATATGAGTCATGGGACGTGCACCTGGTGAGTATGCCTTGCAAGTGTGCCTTGCGGGTAAGCCTTGCGCATATGATTTATGTTTCGCACATGACCTCGTTATGAGGTCATGGGTTTTGCGCATATGACTCAGTCGAGTCAGATGACTTGTTTATTGTGTTATGATTAGTTTATGAGTTTTTGTACATGATCTCGCTATGAGGGCATGGGTTTTGAGTATGTGATCACTTTGGTCACATGACTAAGTTGATATGATTTGGTTTCGCACATGTGACCACTTTAGGTCACATGATCATGGGCGGAAAGAATACTATATAAGGAGGCCGATGCGGCCGAGGAAGATAGGTTCTTCACGCTTTGTTCTAAGTACTTTTCCTACTTATTACTTTAACGAATATAAAACACCCTTATGATCTTTATCTTTATTGCAACATTATCGTTATGCCAAGGAAGGTTCTTCACAAAGACGAGTTAGAGAAAGCTTACTATAGGTGTTCCCGATAGAAGACAAAGGTCTTGTACTATCGGTAACGTAGGCAGAGGCCTAGAGCTATCTTCAGACGAAGGAAGAAGAAGACAGAAATGAGAAGTATCGTTTCCCGTCGCTAAGAACTAACTATCCAAAGAGGGATCGTTACATTACAAAGCGTCACCTTGTGCAACGCCAAACGATACTAAACGGCATCTTTCAATCCAGACATGGAAGGAGATATCGACATCGACGATCAAAACCTTAACCTAGGAGGATTCAGCGATGCCTTAGATCACGTCTCAGCAGAACCCTCAAGAGCAACAAGCTCAGTAACCCCAGAGAAAGGATCACCAGTTGATAGCTCTCCTGCAGGAACTCCACGACCTGAGAGAATGTCAGGATCAGCAGTACCTGGGCTACCAGCCCCAGCCACTCCGGCACCAGGAACTAGCATACTTGGAATGACTGAAAATCAGTTTCAGGCATTTCTCGCAGCAACACGAAATACAGGACAAGGAAACGTCCAACGACTAAAAGCAAAGGAACTCGACACATACGAAGGAGCCGAAGACAAGTTACGAATATTCTTAGCATAATGTGAAGAATATTTTGCCGTTAAGGGATATGGAGATCACTATGATGAAATCAAGATTCCATATGTGGAATCTCTACTCAGAGGACTCGCAGGACAATGGATCATGCCTTTTCAAGATGGAAGAAAGCAGAGGGAATGAGTCACATACGAAGAGTTTAAGACGACACTCTTTGAACAATTCGGAGATCCTAATACCAAAGAAACAGCAAGATGAAAGCTGGAAAAATTCCAACAAGGAAAACAAATATTCTTGGCATACTGGAATGAATGCTGACTATTGAAATACGAGGCCGAGTTTGATGATGCTACTCTCTACATCATCCTCCTGAGAAATAGCAGCGAGAGACTCTGAGAAGCATGGGGAATCTCTGACCTGCGCTATACAACAGCAGAACGATTTGCAAGATAGGCGATTGATAAGAAAAGCAAACTAAACATGGTTCGAAGCAACTCGGAAAACACTATAGCACACAGGATGGTCCAATCATCCAGGAATGTGGACTGAACCTTCAAACCACAAGCAACTCGTGGAGAAAGTCGAGCATTACCATCAGGCGAGTCAATGGAGTTAGACAAATCAAGAGCAGGACATGCTCTGAACCTATCTAAGGAAGAATACACCAGAAGAATGAACGGGAAACTCTGCCTAAGGTGCGAAAAAGCAGGACATCGGATACGAGAATGCAGAAGCCGACCCGACAGCAGATACCAAGGGACCAAAGCTGCTGGAAATAATCGTTTCCAAAATCAAAAGAGGAGCAATATTCGCGAAATGATCGCAGAAGATTCACCGGCGGAAAACGACGAGGGTCCCCAGTAAAGGGTGGTCTAGGAGACCCAAGATGTGGACCTGGAAAACCCATCAAGTTAGCGAACTACTACACAGCACTACACACGCAAAGAGGAGAAGAAGATGGAGATCATGTGATGATCAAAAATGAAGGTATATAATGAAAAAAACAAAGAAACAATAATATATGTAATGCTCGACTCTAGAGCTACCGAAGACTTCATTGACAAAGTAATCTGTGACAAATACAGCCTCCACACCAAACAAGCAAAGAAAGCGAGACAAGTCTACCTAGCGGATGGAAAGCCAAGCGCTATGGGTCCTATAACCCATACGGCGACAGTACCTATAGACATTGACAGCCATAGGAAAACGGCAACCTTTCAGGTAGCAGATCTTAAAAACCATGAGATAGTCCTAGGGATGCCATGGTTACGAAAGCATAATCCGACGATCGATTGGAACGAGAATAAGATGACCTTTACAAGCAAACTATGTGCGACACAATATCTCAACAGTTCACCTGTGGTTTACTCGACACCGATACGAGAAGCAGAAGAAGAAACTTTACATGCAAAGTTTGCCGAGATGCGGCAAGATAAGAGAGTCCAGATACAAAGTCTGGATCAAGAGGCAAGAGTGCCTACCCAGGGTTCCAAAGGGGCAGCAGGACACGACCTGTATGCCAATGAAGGAATCAAGATACCTGCCAACGGGCAGGCAACGATAGCAACAGGAATAGCCATCGGACTACCAGAAGGCACCTATGGATGCATAGCACCCTGCAGTGGTCTAGCAGTTAAACACCGACACATGACCAAAACCAGCCCGATATAACAAAAAGAATCGAGATTAAAGAGATCACAGCACAAGCCTTTGGAAGGTACTATCGAAGGGGAGATACAACAGGAATTCTCAAATAGACATACGAAGACAAAAAAGCAGTCCTAGCGAAAATCAACATTAGCACGGAGCTAGCAATTCAGGATAAGAAATACTAAAGCAAAAAGGGATGGAAAGAATTGGTTCCAAAGGAATATCATCAATTCATGAACCTATTCTAAGAAGAGGAAGCTACCGATTTACCACCTCGAAGACTAGGAATCGATCACGGAATTCAGCTGGACAAAGACGAAAAAATGGGAAAAACAAAAAGAGATTCCCTACAAGAAGTTATACATACTCCGAGAAGCAGAGCTCGAAAAACTTAGGGAGTATATCGAGTAAAACTTAAAGTGAGGATGGATCAGGGACTCTTTCGCGTCAGGAGAATCCCCAATACTATTCGTCAAAAAGAAAGACAGAAAAATAAGACTCTGCGTGGACTACAGAGCTCTCAATTCGGTTACCAAGAAAGACCGATATCCACTACCCTTGATTGGAG